GTTATGTTCTCTTCTTCCGATGATTAAAAATGTTAATGAACTGCGTTAAAGTATTTTTTTTAATGATCACTAGGCACTATTTTGTTAGTTCAACTGTGTTAATTGGTGGATTCTAGGGAAGGATAGATATGTGCAAAGTGGGCATGTAAGCATGTACATCGGAAAGCAACGGTTCTAGTTTGGATTTTTAGTTAAGTTTCCTTGAAGATGCCTAAACACCTGTTAAGATTCTGTTCCAACCTGTATATATCCACTCTACTAAATAATGGATGCTAAATATTCCTTGCAGAAATGAAAAGCTTTCACATTAGCTTTCGGTTTGTAAGCTTCTTATTTACGGACGTCATCGTCAAGAATGTCGAGTCCCTATAGCAAATGTTCCTCGCACACAGTAAGACGTAGTCTTGTACTTATATTTTATTAGCTTGGTTGGAGGCTAAAAATTTTACCATTGCCAAAAAGATTTCTTGATTCCTTTGATTCTTTCGAACCACTACATTTTAATTGAATGGCGACAAGGTTTCTGATTTTAATTGGCAGGCACACAGACCAAAATAATCAGAAGGAATTCCACCTTTTCTCTTCTTTTCGGCACAAGGAATTGAATTCAACTTCCTTCGCGGATTACTACTGCGCTCGGTGAAACATGGGATATATTATTAAGAAAAGATCCCCATGTTTCTGTCTATGTTAATAAATACTGGATGGAGTTTTATTTGCCATGGTGTTTTAAGTGCCTAGGAAATTTCCTTCTCAAAAGTGACTGATATTTATAAAGAAATGATTCTCCTAGTTATGCTCTCATCACTTTACAAGTAATTCCATTTCACTTTATTCCTTTTTCCTCTTATAAAACAACTTGTATCTTTTATTTTATTTTGTTGACTCCGCCAGTATAGCTCCATGTTTTCACACATTCAAGGTCTACATATGCATTTACTTTCTTTCCCTTTTGGCTCCATAATACTTTTTGGAAGGTAATGAGCTGTTTCCTCTTTCTTTGACGAGCCAGAACCCTTGGTAGGTGCATGGTCCTGTCAATTTGTGCAAACAAAAAGACTTTTGGAAATAGAGTGGGCCTATATCCAATATTTCAAATTCTATATCCCCGCCTACTGTAGGTACTATCTAGTGTGGAGGGTCAAAGTACACAAAGCAAAGCATGAAAAACCCAGCCCGTGACATATTGTTGGATTGTGCAAATAATAGGCAGTGCAAGATCATGGGATCTTCTTGCAATTATTAAAGGATGATTGTCATCGTAAGATCAGATTACGGGTGGCTTTTTTTTTTTTTTTTTTTGTTACATAAAATTAAACAGAGCATTATATATATATAACTTCAAATGGCACCTAGAAGAGCTTGCACCTTGCTTTGGTTATGTTTGAAGTCTATAGTACTGGCATTGGATTAAGTAAACAAAGATTCAAAGCCTAAGATTTTCAATGCCAATCCTCATTTACAAATGAGCCATTATATATATATATATAGCAACTCTTATTTATATGATTATAGATATCCTCGGATATTTTTTACTTAATAATCAACGGTGATTCTGAATAACGTCTTTAATTATTTTTTCAAGAAAAATAGTTTTATTCAAATCATATTAATGAAACGTAAATATATAAATTTTTTACTTGAATTACAAAATCCACGCAGAGTTCTAGTTCAGTCGATCTTCAAATAATATTATTATAACCACTAAAAACATGTCAACTGCAGTCTAGATTAAAGATACATAAAAAACAAAACTGCTTAATTAGAACAAGTTGAACTGTAATTTGAGCAATAAGCACGGTAATTCATTCATGTAGTCTCCAAGAAGATTATTTGATTACGATTTAAGGTGTATAACATATCGTTGAGCGTGAAATTTAGGATGGAAATCGATGCATATCTAAAAAAATAATATAGTTTTGAACCTAATTTTTTTTTTAAGAAAAAGAATATAGATGCCAATTGAGTTAAAATTAATGGCTTTAAAAGATATATGAATTATGTCCGCATTAATTCATTTATGAATATTTTATTTCACGTATTCTAATTTCGAATTTTGATGGTTAAGAAAAGAGGTGTACCCTCAAAAATTAAAATCAAAGCAGCTTTCAAATTTCACTGAAGTTTATTAAATCTCATGATAAAATTTTTATGATTCTGCTCAACACAGGCATAAAATCCCATACAGATGAAGCGTACGTGCTTGAGCCTATGGGCCGGGCTGACACCAATCTTTTTTTCTTACCTAGGCTAGCTTGAAGGAGTCGGGTCCAAAGCCTGTTTGGATTTTCATTTCCTTGACCGAAATTTGCAGTAAAAATCAAACACAAACAATCCCCCGGCATAAGTGGCGCCACGCCATCTCAAGAAAATGTCACCAGATGGTGACTAGACCACCACTAGAGTGGAAGCTGGTGATGGAGTTTCTAGGAAAATATATATAAAACGATAAGATAAAGACCCGCCTTCTCTTATACTTCAATTCAACGTAACGACAATGGTGGGGTGGTGATGGGGGGTCATGATTCAGTAGGTTTTGATGATCAATGAGAAAAAAATTCCACACCTGTCTGTGGAATTTCCCTGCTGCAATAAATAAGTATTATGTGTCTCTTTCTCTTACTATTATTACTTCTACTACTAATATTATCATTATTCTATTTTGAATTTGAATCTCTTTGGATGAGAACAAAAATATCTAGCTACCCTTTTGCATCTGTCGACTTCTTATAATATCAAGAGTGCTGAAGGAAATGACATGTACTTCGATTATTAAAATCCATTTTTGTGTGCTTTTTGGACAATGCACAAAGGTTAAGAGTTTAGGAAGCTTGTGAAATATTAGGACAAATATCTTGGCTTGCAAACAGCTGAAGATTTTTTTGAGCAGAAATTGGATCTATGTGAATTTTTTCTTCTTCGATGACAATGAAAGATCCTATGATCCCGTATTCTATCATAATCTGCAATTATTAATCCATAGTTTTAGCTAAATTATTTTCATGATGAACCAGCTCAAGAATTTAGATCCCCAAATTATTTTGTTGACGATCTAGATTAAGAATTTAGGGTGTTCCATCACATTTCAGACTTTTTACGTGAATAATTGAATGAAGACAGACTTGGAATTCAATATCCACACGCTTTGTCATCCATATTCACGAATAAGAATCAAACGAAATTTAATTATTAATGTCAAGATCAATCAACTATAAAGTTGTAAGCAAATAGACCACAATATCATTATACTAGGCTGGTAGCAAATCGAACAAAAAGACAGCAACTCAGTTAATTTTTCTTTCAATTCTTGTGATGCAGTGTGTGAAATTCATGTGCGGTAGAAAACCCAATAATAACAGTGACAAAAACATCGACAATAGACGACCAGGCGTCAAGTTCCTTTAGAGTGCACGTTTTAAAACTTGTTCAAGTTCCTTTCGAGGGTAGCCAAGAAGGACCTAAATTTCTATACATTATTGAAGCCACTTTATTAAGGTTTTGAAATTATTGGCCCGTCAATAATGCTGCCTACAACTGCTATCGACCGCAAAGCAAAAGTCAAGATTATGACATCATCCACTATCAAACCAACTTTACCACCTACGTAAAAGAATTAGCCAGGCCGAATTGAAGTCCCATCATAAAATTAAAGAAGACAATAAAAAAAGAAAGATCATATCGCTTGCAGAGAAAAATGGATAATGACTTTCAATAACTAAAAATGGTTTCTGGAAGAACAGTAAGAAAGAGGGGAATCTTTAGGAAAAGGGCGTAATTAGCAAATTTAGGAAATTTTACTAACTGGGGCAGGAACAAAATTACATTAGTTGGACGAAGAAAAGCTACTGAAACCTACTGTCTAGGGATGGTAATTTAACATGCATACTATCCATACCAAAGAGGTAGGATATTTTTTTTAATAAATAGTAATTATTTCGAATCAAGTAAAAATATTTAAAATATTATGAATAGTTACTATTTCTAATCAAGCACCAATATTGTCAAACACCTACATAAAACCTGAACCTATATATATATATATATATATATATATATATATATATATATATATATGTTTGTTAGGAATAAATGGTACTCGAAGAAATTAAATATAAATATTTAAATTTCTCATTCAATGAATTATGAGTAATGAATAGAGAATAGATACTGGAAATCCAACACATGTGTACCCACTACCATCACTGCTACCGTCACTGTCCTCATTCTCAATACTCTTACCATGTCAAACATTCTAAACTTACTTCTAAATAGGCACACATAAATCACAAACACGAAAAATTGTCAAAAGGATAGGCTTTTATAGCCAATCTTACTTCGAATCTATTGCTCGAAAGCTCAGCGGGGAGAAGTACAGAAGGAAGAAAAGCCCGTGAGAACCACTGGCAATCCGTTGAAAAAGGGGGCCAGAGCTTCTAACAAGTGTGAGTGACACCAACCTTGATACAAGAAACCAGATTTGTAGAATCGTCTGTATCAAGAAAACTAGATTTGTAGAAACTAAGTGGTACTAACAGGAAGATTCTAAAAAGATCTTACCTAAAGTGGTTATTTTGATTCCTTAAATTAAGTTTGAAGGATCTGACTCTAATTTGTAAAATTAGAGTGAATTCCCCTTTCAACAATAGGAGATTAGGTAAAATTGCTGGATCAAATCCAAATCAAACTAGTCTTGGACCAATCCTAACTAACTAGATCCAGATTAACTCAAATTGATCTAAAGAAATCAAACTAATCACAAGATATTATACAGTTGGCACAACTAATCAGCAAAAAAAAAAAAAAAAAAGAGAAAAATTAAGGTCAAGCAAACTCCTAATGATAACTGATAATAAACTCATTCCATCTCCACCACCACTGTGTACAAAAACCCAATAATTAACTTAAACATAAGAAAACAACATTTACTATAATCAGAAGGACATGTCTATAACATAAATATTTATATATAATCATAATTTAGCAATTTAAATTTACCATAATCACACAGAAGCCTGTGAAACCTTTGTAGTAACAACCTTAGCTTCTGGACCCAATGGCCCACCACCATGTCTCATTTCACCACTTACCGCTAAACCACCACCAACCCCTTGATACTGTAGTGGTGGCTGCTGCTGCTGCTGCTGCTGATGCTGTTGCTGGTGCATTACACCACCTTGCGCAGTATAGTAAACCTGTCTACCAACCGCACTATCATACGCCACCTGTGCGTATCCCGGATCCGTCACTGCTACCCCTTGGCCACTGGGCCTAACAACTCCCATTGGACCCATTGGTGGTGGGGGCTGTTGATGTTGATGTTGTGGGACCATATTATACACCGGCTGCTCTCGGTAAACATCGGGACCATGACCCGGACCCCCACCCATTCTCTGCATGTAATACCCTTGACCGGTTTGTCCGGTAACCTGTCGCATTACTGGAGGTGCATGATAAACAGCCCCTGGACCTGGACCCGGTATCATATAAACGGGTTGCTCCATTTGACCCGGTGCGGTGGTCACCGCCACAGGAAACCCGCCTCCCGTAGCCTGTTTCTCGGGCCAATAACCTGGTGGAGCAGTCACCTGGGGTGGCATTGTCACAGGCAAATTCGCCTGAGGCACTTTTTCAGGCACTTTTTGCATGTAATAATCACCGCCAGCAGCAGCATAACCACCTACCAAATTTTCATCGCTGTTTTTTCTATTATACCCAATTTGCTGCTCGTGTTCTCTAATTTGCATTCTCTGCATCTGGGCCTGCAAATTCAAAGGATCCGACCCAATAGCCCGATCATCATGACCCGGCCCAGCATGGATTTCAGGCAAATCCGGCACTTTAACAGGCGGCGGCGGCGGCGGCGGGGTTCCTTTTTCTAACCCAAATAAGAAATCAACGTTATTCGCTGCCGTTTTGGTTGATTCAACAACCTGACTCGGACCCGAATTCAAAGCCTCTACAAAACGTTCCCGATCCGATTTGCCACCATCGGAGCCGAAACTTGCAGGTGACGGGCTAACCGGGAAAAGAAACAATCTCATTCGAGCAGGCTTAGCAGAGGCACGAAAAAGACGATCGTACTCATGCATCATGTGTTCAAGATCATCATCATTAGTGACTGATATTAAAGCATCAAGATCTTCACCTGGGAGCTGGTATTTGAACGCCACGTCGGTGTCACCACAAACCGCTGCGAGTTTGCTTATCATGACCGAGAATTTAATGTTTCGATCCACGGCGAGGATTTTGGTCTCTCCACCTATGTAAGCAAGCTGGTTGTCGTGCGGACGTGGGTGGATCTTGCCTCCATAGCTACACATGAACTTTGCTTTGTAGCTTTGAGGTTGTTGTGCTTGGTCTTCCCATGGCGTCGGGTTGTCAAAATCGATTTCACGAGATCTAGGCGACGATTCACCTGAATCTGGGTATGAGTTAAAAGAATAGGCGTTTTCCATGAAGAAAATTTTGTAAGAGGAGTTTGGGTAGAGAATAGAGAGTTCTGGCTTTTTTTGTGCGTGTGGGATAGACTAGCAAGCCATGAGAGTTGAGAGAGAGAGAGTGGAGGGGAGAGAATCGGAGGAGAGTTTATACATCTTTTTCATTTTGCTATGGGATACTTAGAGAAATGATAAATCAAATTATGGCTTGATGGATTTTTCGTGTTATGTCGTATTTTCACGTTGGGTTTGGGACAGGTGGTGGTGTGGCAACTGGGAGGGAGGAAATTAGTGTGATTTATATATATGTATACAGTTTTGAAGGGAGACTTAAGAGTATGAGGGTTAAATGGACTTTTTGGCTAGAGTGGTGGGTCCGGATGAGCATTGATTGAAAAGGTGAAGGTGAAGGAGAAAGAGATAAGAGAGCGATGTGTTGACTGTGAGAGAGAGAGAGAGAGAGAGAGAGAGATAGGCTTCAACGAGGTGGCCTTTAACAAGTGTGGAACTGCCATCTGGAAAAACACTGCGAACTGTTTAAAACCGTTAATTTTAATCTACACTCCAAAGGAAGGATTAGATGATGATGACGATGACGACGAGGAGGATAGTTGTTCGGTGGGTGGATTTGGTATTCTGTACTATCAATTCCTATAGTATTCAAATCATAGAAGAGGTCCAAAAAACATTAGATTTTGTGAATGCTCTGACAGAATACGGTTTCAAAAGTTAATCCGAAATTACTTTTCTTGTTTAAAAACAAAAAATGCTACCTATTTTTCATAACTGGACGAATTAGTCCTTTTTGTTAAGTTTTAGTAGTGGTTGATGTTGGGTAACGGGGAGTAGAAGCAAAAAACTCCAGTTTTTAAGCCTGTTTGTAGTAAATAAAGTCGTATAAGAGGGTGCAAATGTGAAAGATAGCGTGATTTACGCGCTATTACTTATATGTGACCCGCGCACATTACGTGGGAAAAGCAAAAGGAGTTGACAGACGTTCTTCTTCTGTTGTTGTATAACTTACTTACAATTTTTATTTTTATTTTTGAAAAAAAAACGCATTTTTTCTTGTATTCTTGAGAACCATTGAGATTTTTGTCCAAGAATAACTTTTCCAACTCATGCGATTATCATATTCTTGTGACAAATAAAGTGATTCTTAGCAGGCGCATATTTATTTTATTTGAAAATATATCAGATTGGGCAAACTTCAATTGAAGATCAGCGGGCTGCTTCCTTACTTCCATAAGGTTTGGGATTCGGCAGAAATTTGAGCCCATAAATTTGTTATTCAATGAGAACTAGTTCACCGTATGTGTTCTTAGAGCATGATATAAATAGCTCTAGTATCTCCGCTACTATTCTAGTAAGAGGTTAGTAACATTGTTTTTGACCATTTGGGGAACAGCCAAATAGACATTGGTAAATATTTTAAAATTTAAATGATTATTCGTTCCACAATTTAGATATTTCCTATTTGACAAACTATAGCTTTGTGTGAACGGAAAACATAAGCTTACCTACCTTCAATTTTTGTAATACTCAGACCCAATTTGTTTTTTGGTCCATTATTGATAATTTTATGATAGAAAAAATGGCCTATAGAAATTATAGATTATTCGCTGCTTGATCTAAGACTTCATCTTTTACGGATTCTTCAGTGTTTATTAGATGTTGCAGATTTATGTGAATCTGCTCGCAAGTGTATATATGGCATTGTGAAGGAAGTAGCCTTTATCATAAAATTTAGATTATATATGTATATAAAATTGTGTTCGAGTCACATAATTAATTTAAGTTAAAAAATTATTTCTCCGTATAATTTTATTTAGTTCTTATTTTTTTTCATAAATAAAAATAATTAATTTTTATGTTTTTATTGAATTATTTGTTAAAAATAATTTATTTATTTATTTTTAAAATTTTGCTATTTATTCGTTCACGTGGATTTATTACTTGTATGTCCTCTTGCTTCTTAATTGAAAACTCTTATGGGAGTTGACTAGTCAAATGGATAGATTGGGTTAAGAAAGTAGAATTTTATATTACCCATAAACACAAAAATAAGAGACAAATAAATAAATAAATTTAAGTGAAAATCGTTTTATTTATTCATTATTATATTTAATTACTAATTTATTTAAATATATGATTATTTTTATAAATAATTTTTTTATTTGATCTATTTTAGAAATTATAATAATATCAAATGAAAAAAAGCATATGAGAAATTACAATAATATCAAGTGAATATTGTACGTGAGTGTGAATGAATATTGATTAAATAATAAACACTACATTTTTTAAAATTTTCTTATTAATTATTTTTAAATACTTAATTAAGTTTATTTATTTATTTTCATAAAAACAAATATGAAAAAAGTTAAAAGTCCAAGAGAGTGAAGGATAATTTCGAAGTTACGAGAATTAAGTATCGGTAGTATGGAGACGATGATTGGATAAGTTGTCATGTCTCGCGTGTCCACCAAACAACCTCTCGCAAAACACTTTATATGGTCCGGTCCTATCTCATATTGTTGTGCATGACAATTAGGTCCTCTATGTGAAATGTCAGTAACACCCTAATCCCAGCAAAGTTGTTAAAGTGAGATGCCTTTGACAGCTTAGCCGCAGCCCACAGCACCATGATCCTAATTAAAAATGAAGGTCACCAAGCACAAGAAAGTAGATTTTCTGCTACGTTTCTAATTATTAATTAAATTTCCGCTTTGAGATGTTATATAATGTTGATGGAGCACATAATAAGGTATATGAACTTACATTGGTTATTGATAAATGTAAAATACGAGGAAGAACAGTTGTGCTATTGACTGGAAGTAGCAGCGAGACAACTAGATACACATACACTCCTCGTAGTATATAGCATGCACAGTTTAAAATTATTAATCGAAGGCTAAAGAAGTATTTGACTATGTTTTTCCTCCCGAGAATGAAGGGTTAGCAAATAAAAATAATTGTTTGACTTGCTACTGTTCTGGTGAGCTTCGTTATTTACTACCAGCAGCTAACTTGAAGTCATCCTAAAAATTGTGAGAAAGAAAATTCACAAAGAGTAATTAAAAGAAGATGACATTGACCAACAAATTATTGATATCGTTATACGCTAGCTGATTTTTAAATAAAATTTTCAATAACTACAGGGTTTAAACTCTAAAATTGTATTTATAAATGAATAAATTTTATCACTTTTTAATTGAATATGATTAATCTCATTTTTAATATTTAATAATAAAAAAATAACCTCGCTCCGCAATCCAATTCGGGGGAAAAAATCTGAAACCATTCCACCAAGAGCATGCAATGTAAATGTTTGATTTTCTAATGATAATGGTACGATAGGTTAGTAAATAACATTATAAAGTTCTAAAAATGGCAGAGTGAGCAAGTTATTTATAATATATATATATATAGACAAAGAGAGAGTGATCCTTATAATCCAAGCAAAAGATCGTCTAGACTAGTTTAATAGTTTTCTTTTTTTCGTGTTTGACTACCACTTCATATTTTTGAAATTATGACTTATAGATCAATTAGTATAAAATTTTAGAATGATTATTTATTTATTTGTAAATTATTTTCTTAGACACACACATTTCATTCTTTAAATTAGCACTGGCATTTAAAATTTCATTTCTTGAAAAAACGAAACATAGGATCTCCATTCATTATTTTTCATTTAACCCATCTGAATGTAGACTAGTGGAATATGGTTTATTTTAAATCCAATTGGAAGAAGCCACTTAATCTTGATATGTTAAAACTGATTATATATATATATATATATATATTAAGACAAAAAAAAAAAAAAAAAAAGAACACCCGTCCTATTTCTTGTATAGTATGTAAACGATACTTAGATTCTTTCAATTGGTGGTCAGCAACTTATTGCTTATTTTCAAAAACCTCCCGTCCTCGCCCTGCCACCCACCCTCTGTCTCCAAAGGAAAAGGCCAATGTGCCATTGTTTTCAAACGGAAACCTATGGGCCGTCTCGAGTAGGGCAGTTTATGATGCACTTACTTTAATGCCATTAAAATCCAGAAATCTAAATTTGTTTGACTAGAGACCTCAAGAACTTATATTAGACGGAGAAAAATGGAAATCACATGGACTAGCTGGTTTTGGACGTTCGGATAAATGCATCAAGAACTCTCCCACCTGATACAAATCCGTGTAAAGACCCAAGTCTTTTTTTAATATATATATATATATATATATATATATATATATATATATATAAAATCAAATCCGGGGCAGTATCTGCTTGTGGAGATGGTAATATGCGAATAACAAGTATATTAATTTAATTTTTTATTTTATCTATTAAAAAATATTTTATTCACATTCACTAAAAAAAATTATTATAAAATCTTTTCTGACTCATATTTGATTCACTCGCTTATTTAATATCAATTTAATATTCATTAAAAATATTTTGCCAAAATAATTCATTTTAATCCACGTTTGGTCCTTTATTCATAATTTTTTTTATTCTCAAAGTTTTTATTAAAAAATATTTTGATCTTTATTTTATTTTATTATTTTTTTTTAACGAGGTCTCAATACGTAAGAAAAAAAAATTAAAATAAATTAGTGGATGTATGATATATAATGGGTATCTATATTTTAAAATTATATAATCAGATATACATTTTTAATTCTTATTAATTTAAATACCAATTAAAAAATTTTAACGTGAATTTATTAGGTTGAGTAGAGTAAATACTCGCTTTATACTCAACTCATTGTCATCTTTGTAAACTCGATTAGTTCTTGTATAAATGATATTCATTGGAATTCAATTACATTTATTTATTGGTTGTGCAGTTGACCTTTTCTTGGTCCTAAAATTACAGTTCTGAATGTGCAATTAATTGTATACTACATTATTTTTTTAAAATTATCGTACATTAATAAATAAGAGAAAAATTGCGTTGAAAAATTAATTAAAATAAGTTATAATTAGAAGGTATGATAGTAAAACCAAATAATTGACAGTTTGATTTTTTATTAAAAACTAATAATTTTGAGACATCTTAAAATAGAAAGGTGAAAATATTTTAGGACGGAGATGATAGCTTTCTCCAATTAAAAAAAAAAATTGAATTCTCAATCCAACCACTGCAACTTTCTCAATCAACGTAACGGGGAGGTCTATTAAGGCATCCTTTGAGTTCGTCCAAAATTCTCAGCATTGGGTCCGGGAGCCACGTACGAAAAGGTAAAATGTTAGACACGAAAAACTAAAAATCCTTGGTTAAAAACTAAAATCAGATGGCCTGCCCTTGAATAGTCGAACTCAAGCAATCGAACTTCTTATTAGACGGAAGTTCTGAGCGTTCCGGTTTAAGGTGAGGCTTAGACACAGTATCAAACAAAGAAAATGAGGGTAAGGCATGATGCATTTTTGTCAAAAATGACAAACTAGTAGATACATCTTTCAAAAAAAACGAGAAACTAGTTATTCTTTCTTAAGTACATCGAAACCTTGATGTCTAAAAATGAAGGGAAGAGGGAAAGAGATGGACGGGGTCCGATAACTAACTACTATTTATATTGGAAAAAAGTGAGCTCCCAATGAATTGCGAGTGTGATCTACGCTCAGTCTAGCATGCCTCAAAATATCTTGAACAAGCGGTATTTGATTTATTTTCCTTTTGGATCAGCCTCTTTTACATTCAATTTACTATATTTAAATTTCCATTGAAAAAAGGCTCTATATAAATCAATGTGACTTTAAAGCAATGCTACGAGAAGATAATGAAATAGGGAAACTCATAAAGAATAGGCAATAGGGCAAGAATTATGCGGGAAAGAGCAGCCGAACATGATCCACCGTCTAGCCGAGTTGCCAATAAATATCGAATAATTAAAGAGATGGTTTCTTTGTTTCTTGGAGGAATAACTGCCAACTTGATTATAGTTAAGGTAGTTCTGCAAAATACAGTATTCTCGGCGATAATATCTGACGGAAAACATGCTCGGTCAAAGCTGTATCCATGTTCTCCCATGATTTATTTACTAATGCTTGAGTCTTGCCTGGGAATTTTCTAATATTTTTCATCATTGTTAGATAACAGACTCATGGGATTCAACATGGTTTTGTTATATAAAATTTCAAGATTCAGCAAAGTTGAAATCTAACAGTGCAAGTGAATTATATATATATATATACAGTAAGGTTTATTGTGTTTGGTTTGTGAGAAATGTTAGATTCTTTAACAGTAACATTTTCAAGTGCCTCTTCAGTATATCATATTTTCATCAATCAATTTTGGAATCTTAGATATTTAAATTCTGCATTCCAGATGGCATCTAATTATCTGTCATGCCATGTAATATGATACGCACATGTGAAATACAACCTCATATTAATGCATTCCCCTTCCCATGCCTATCATAAAAAGTTATATTTGCAATTGCGATAGCAACGACTAATTCGCCCATTGCCAACCAAAAGTTGTTCTTTTTACAGATAAAAAGAACAGGTCTTTATCCTGATCTTCACAGGTGTGTTTTTGTTGAACCATTATTCTTCGAACGTTGAATGGTTTATGTCTACGTCCATTTAATCATGGACCGACTGTGGATCATGGGCCATTGTCTGTTGGACTGGGACTCATAATGGGTTAATGTGTGAAAGAAGAGGGCAACAGCTCATCAATCTATACGGTGGCGAAAACTACCATAGGATTCCACGAGTACCCAACCTTAATTTAACACCCACTTAAATTGGTTAAGAGGGCAAATGCTCGTCTGTTGATATGGCGGCAGTACTCTTTTCACTTTCCTTGATTTTCAACTCATTCACTCCTTTTCATTTTGTCGCTTTGTTTGTCTGTATAGTTCAATTTTAATGAGAATTGTATTAAAGTTTCAGATATGATGATGTGGCATATCCGGTTAGGTTGGGGGATTGCTTTGGTTTTTCAAGTATAATGCTCAAATTTTGGTTGTGATACCTGTCCATTCACTATTCCATGAAAAGTCAGAGGCCCCAACAATGGCCTAATTTTCTTAAGAAGTTTTTTTTCCCTTGAATTCTCGGCCAAGTTTTTTTAAAAATAAAAAATAAAAAATTGACAGAATAAAAGACTGGAGGAGGACTTTTTAGATGTAGGATTATGAATGTTGTGTTGTTGTTTATGACATATCGATACAGCATCATCAAAGTAGGAGCAAAGTACTCTTTGTTTTCCATTATCTGGGCACTCTTTCTTTAACATTATATTTTTCTTATTCTGGTGATCAAGGAATCAATCATGTGGATGGAGTAACTATTTGTCTTCTGTAATTATTCATCAAAAAAACTGTCTATAACATTTTTTACTTTTCGCATATATCAAAAAATTATTACTTATCATTCTATATCACTGTCTTTTAATCGCACTTTTTTTAAAATTTTCTTTTTTTAGTTTTATTTGAATAAGTTTTATAAAAAATAAATTTTAATTGGGAATGTTTTAAAAAATATATATATCATTTAAAGTTTTAATCAAACAATTATGTTAGACTAAATATTAAAAAAATAACTTTTTAGTGCGAAATAAATATAGTTCATACTTGGTTGTTAAAGATTACTCTTATAATCCTACACCATCATTTTTCCGTATCTTCTAGTTGATATAGGCGGTAGAAAAGGGTCTATTTCCACGATGTTAGTTTATAAATCTACTAAAAATTTGGGTTGGGAACCACATCATTAAATCTATTGTTTTTCCTTATACATCATCCGATTTCCTTTTTATTTTTCTGCATAAATTAATTCTCTCGCCTTTCTCGGTTGCCAACTTTCTTGTTTGAACCATCAAATCAAAAATCTTAAAATCTAGCCAAAGAACTATTCTCTTGGGAACTTGAATCATATTCTAATTTCCAACCTTCATTCCCCGTTTTATATAATTAAATCCAACACAATTCAAAAATCACAAGCTTCACAACCAGTTTTAGATCTCGATCTGTTCGTTCCAAACCAGGGGTGGAACCAAAAATTTAGGATTGAGAGGGCGAGTAAAAAAAATAAGTGATTTTTTTGGGCAAAATATATAAAATTGAAGGATATAATTAAATTTATTCAAAAGTTTAGGATTAACATTTGAAAGTTTATGCTTTAACAAAGACATTGGATAATTTATCATTTTCCTTCGCCACATGCTGTGCACGTGATACAGCTTCGTCCTGGAAAAGCTAGCCACATGTACAAACCTGTTTTGTTTGTCATGGGCCTTATGGCTTCGAACCTCGTCGTAATTTGGAGTTGTTTTTCTGTTTAAAAACAATCACGGCCTAAGGGTCTCTTAAAACATGGAAAAGGAGAGAAAAATACAATTGAGTGCTCAATACCTTTTTTTTTTTTTTTTTACTAATCGAGTGCTTGGTAGATAAAATTTTTCTGGTTAGGTGTTTAAGTTTTGATTTCTTTGTTATTTGAGTGTCCACATGATTTGATAGTGCAAAAACATCGATGCGCTGAAGACGAATCACCACGTAATAAAAAAAATGAGTTCTACTTGAATTATTAAATATATATATATATATATATATATATATATATATATATATAATTTGAATGATTAATGTTTGATTATTTTTCTATTTGAAGGTTTAATGTTTGATTTTTTTTTCTATTTGAATTTTATCAATCATTTAACATTAAAAATCATTAACATCTTTACTGACACACAATAATATTTAACTAACACATGACAAGAAGTAGATACCATTTGGATTTATTGAAAAAAAAAATAGTTGATCAAAATGAAAAAAAAAATTTAACAGCAATCACTGTTTATTGAATGAACTCAAATTGTTTAGATAATCGATGGTTAAAACTTTTGGATTAGATAAAAGAAATGTTTAGATGATAATATTTTGGAATTAGTTTGAGAAATTGGTTAACAAACTTATCGAGTTCATGTAGTTCACAGCAAAGCAATTTTGATTTTTTTTATAATTATTGCTAGTTATTTTTTGATTAAAGTTTTATAATTTTGTAATAAATTTAAATAAAATTTACTTTTTGTTACATGTCAGTTCAAAATTATTATGTGTTAGTATAGCCTTACCATATTAGTATTTTTCAATTTTAGAAAATTAGAAAATTTAAATAAAAAAGTATAAGATGTTGGGTATTCGAGAAGAAAAATAATTAAAGATTGATATCAATTGCAGTTTTTTTTAAAAAAAATCAATTTTTTTGAAAATTTAAGCGAGATATGCTTTTTATTATATGACAGTTAAAAATTGCAATATAACAATTTATCTCAAAAACATTAATATTTTTTAGGGATAATTATAAAAAAAACCTTCTAAAAAAATCTTATATCCAAGTAACCCATCAATTATTTTTAAATCTCTCAAACCCAAAATAATATTTTTCTTACCAAAACACGCAATAGTTAACCTCCAACTTAACTCTAGTTAACTATTGGGTCTTTTGGTAAGATAATTTTTTTTTTTTTTTTTAAGATTTGAGAGATTTAAAAAATAAATTGATGAATTGTTTAGAGTTTTTTTTATATGGTTTTTATCTAATACTAAACTCATTTCATAGTTTTTAATGACTTTGATATTTATTTTTATTTTTTTCATGATCGAGTCAAGTTCTTTTTTATTGCATTCAAAAGAATTTTTTTTTTTAGGTTCCTTGACTTTTAAAATCTAACATTTGACTTCTTTTTTTAATTATACTAAAAAATTTCTTATATTAGAGTTTTTTTTTCCTATCTACTTGTTTGTTTCATTAACTATGAGATTAATTTTACTATCTAGTAACTATAGCAATCGATGTAATTTAATTAATTAATATTGATAAAATGAGACTCTTGTTATTTTTTTGTAATTTAATCAAAGGGTTATCATACAAATAAGAAAAATAAGAATATGTATAATTATGAACATTAGTGATTTCTTAAATTCTAATCTATTTATAGAGAAAAAAAAGCATCATCGGTAATACTAGTTTTTAATTAGTCATAACTCAACATTTTTTTATCAATCATTTAAATTAAATTACAAGATGAATGTATAACATATTTTGATGCATTAATTAAATAAAACATGATCATCCATAATAGAAATACATATCTTGAAAGAGAATGGTTTTATTTAAACTAGAGATAATTACCAAAATATCTTCTAAAAAATCTTCTATCTAAAAAATTCACTATTTTATTTTTAAATTTTTCAAACACAATATTATTTTTAAATGTCACAAGCCTAAAACAATATTTTTCTTACCAGAATAATCAATAGTTAACACTAGTGTTAATTATTGAGTGTTTTAGTAAAAAAATATTATTTTGAGTTTTAGAGATTTAAAAACAAATTTATGGATTTTTTTAGATAGAAGATTTTTTTATAAGGTTTTTCTAGTAATTATCACTATTTTTTAATCTAAAATGATTGTGGATATTCAAACAAAAATAACAAATAAAAAATAAAACTTAAATACTAAAATAGAAAGATTAACAATTGGACATCGAATCAGAAAAAAAATAAAAATTAAAAACTCAAATTGCCGCTCTCTCTCTCTCTCTCTCTGTATATAGACAACGAACGAGGTTCGTCATTAATTAAGGGTTGTTGAAGATTACGACATCTTCAACGTGTACCGTGGTTCTTGAAGTCATTCCTAACCCGCACATATCGTCGGTTGGAAAGCCAACGAAATTATATGGACATTAATATGTTTGGAAGCAAATTGGGAGAGGGAAAACAGTGGGAAAGAAAAGAAAGTGATGAAGGAAAATAAGTAAAAATGCTGGTATTTTCTTTTACGTGTTGCGCGGGAGTAAAAGTTAAGTAGCAACAAGAAACCCATTTAAAACAGGACAGACAATCAAAACTACAAACAGTCCCTTCGCTACTTCCTCATTCAAACTCCAACTACTGACGTGTACAATAAACACAGAGCTCTGTCCTCTCCTGTACTAAATTTCAACGCCAATATCTAATCTCTATTTCAAGTTCCATTATTAGAAACAACTTCTCTTTCCATTTTCAGGTTTGTCAATAAATTAGCACTGAAATGATCATAAAACCAAATGAATGGATCGTGATTCTACTGTTTGATCATCTTGTTCTTTAAGATTCTTAATCTCAATCAGCACAAACTCTACTTTGTAAGAGAGAAAAAGATTATGGGAAGCAAACAGTTTCAAGATACTACTACAGCTAAAGTGTTTGATCATATGTTTGCTTAATTATCTCTCCATTTTATTTTTATTTTCTTAAGAATGGGAAAGAAGCGTGTAATGGTGCCTGCTGAGGATGTCGACTTGTCCACCGTCAAGTACGAGCCTGATGTTATCCAAGGTTAATTTCTTCGCATTTTTTTATCATAATTTATGTTTTACACCTAAACTTATCTGTTAATAAATATTATTTATTTGTTTTTGTTTACAATTACAGCTCCACATTTGACTGGATTGACATTTAAGTTGTTTGTGAAATTCCTTGAGATTCCTGTGATCGGTCCTTTGGTTATATCACATTTGAAGAAGCAGAACAAGATGGTTGAGGTCTGTCTCTTTTGTGAATTTTTATTTTTGTTTTTAATTGTGTGCATAATTAAATATTTGTTTGTTTGTTGATGTCAGTTGCTGCAAAATACCGTGATACCGGAAGCACCTATGTATAAACCTGAATATCCTCCCCAAGGTTTGTTCTTATTCTTCTCCTCTCTTTTTATTATTTATATAACATATACTATATACATTGCAATTGAGTACAAAAAACAATTTTTACGCGTTGCTATGCTAGTTTGGAAGATTAAGCTTAATGACAGATCACTAAACTTGATGTTTAATAAGTTGTTAGTCTGTATATGTGGAGCTGATATAGTCTGTATGGCTGTGTGTACAGAAACAGAACCTGGCGTTGTCATTGTTGACGAAGATGGAAAACCAGAAGAAAGGGTTGAATCAGCCTTGAACTGTCTTCCTCCTTATGATGCTGCTAGCTGCTGGAATGATGATTTGGCTTCATCATTCAGATACTGGAAGATACGTGATTATTCACATGCTTATCGGTCTAAGATTGTAACTCCATCCATGGTAACTTGCTACAGATTTAGTTTCTTTATCGCATTTGAAAATTGCAGAGGATCTTACATTTATCTTGCAGGTTGCTGAGCGCATCATTTCAGCAATAGAAGATTTTAATGTAAAGAAGACCCCAATGCCATTATTGATTTCTTTTGATGCTGAAGAAGTCAGGAAGCAAGCTGCAGCTTCTACAAAAAGGTTTGAGGAAGGTATTGCTACATTACATTTGATGATCCGTAGTGGTTTACAGATACACTATGGTGGAGTTTGTGTCAACAGGTAAGCGTGGCAGAGTTGAAACTGCAATTTATCATCTTACATGCTTTGTGGTTGTTGACTATGTAGGAAAACCAATATCCATCTTGGATGGCATTTTCATCGCGATTAAGGATGATATAGATTTGTATCCGCATCCATCCAAGGGTATATAATGGCATATTTATCCTGATTTCTTGATATTTTGTCAAGATTTTTAGAAGTCAAAGCAATAGTTGATCATATACTGACAGGTGGGACAACATGGATGCATGAGGTTCGCTCTGTGGAAAAGGATGCAGTTTGTGTTTCTAGGTTGCGTAGCTGTGGTGTGATATTTGTAGGGAAGTCAAACATGCACGAGCTAGATATGGGAACAACCGGAAATAATTCAAATTATGGGTCAGTTCATTGTTTGGTATAAAGGATCGTGGTAATTTTGACAATATATGTTAACGTTGATTAAAGTAGTTGATGTTAATCACTATTGCATGATGATTATGATTCTTGTAGTTTTTAGTTCTTAACTACGGTATAATGGTGCAGAACAACAAGAAACCCTCATGCAGTGGATAGGTACACAGGCGGATCTTCCTCAGGTCCAGCAGCAATTGTGGCCTCCGGTCTATGCTCTGCTGCCTTGGGAACTGATGGTGGAGGTTGTGCAACTGCAAATATGTTTTTTAGTGATAACTTGCAATTGGTGTTTACAACATACTAACTGGGTAATGATCAATTTAATGAAAGGGAGGCAGGTTCAATCCGTATTCCTTCTTCCCTCTGTGGTGTAGTGGGCTTGAAAACAACACATGGCCGGACGGACTTGAGAGGGTAAGCTTTTTTTATAGTTCTAAAATAATACATTATTGCTAGAAACTGAGTATATTTTAAAACTAATCATTAAAAAATGGAGAAAACGAATGAGAATGTATGATGAAAAGTTTGGTTTTTTTTTTTTTTTTTTTTTTTTTGATAATTAGAGATTTTTCTTTGTTGTAATCTTTTTTCTTGGTGCTATAATGATGCAGTTCCTTGTGTGATTCTGGGACTGTGGCAATAATTGGACCGATTGCATCTTCTGTGGAGGACGTAATGCTTGTGTAAGTATTTCAATCTTATTGTTGGATTTTACTGACTAGAGAATTATCTCTAAGCAGTCAGATCATATATATTTGCATTAAAAACGGATAAGCTTCAGAGTTTCTGCCCTGTTGTTACTGGTTTCACTTGTGAGACACAAACTGCGCGCTTCCCATTGGCAGTATAGCTTCAAGATACTTGCTAACTACATGTACTCAATTTTAAAAGCGATAGAATCCTGTGCTGAATATATCCACTGCTAGTCTGCTACGATTATTCATTAAAAGTTATGCCTGTGAGAAAAATGAGAATAAAAAAACAACCGCCTGCATACTTGGTGTCATTTGTGGTTGTGGAGCTGGTCATCATACTTGCTAAAAGCCAAGACATAAGCTTAATTGATGTTTGAGTTTTTGATGACATGAACAGTTTATTTAAATATTGCTGAGTAGAACATACTCATTACCATGCCTTCTGTTGATTTACCAGGTACGCAGCAAGTTTGGGCTCCAATCCTGCGGATAAAATCAGCTTGAATCTGGTATTTGTAAATTTCATCATCTGTCTAAAGAAATAAAAAAGAGAACCAGTTTGTTCTTTTTTCTTTTTTGTGAATCTTCCAGTTATCAAGAAGGAAATAATTACAGATAGTTGCCAGAGTACATGGCAGTAGGGTTACAAAACTAAGAGTTACAAAAGACTTTGGTGAGGAAAAGGAAAAAAAAAATCTCTGTTCAAAGCTTGTTTCACCAAGGAATCAGCTGCACACATTCCAGTCCATTCTGTTTCCTGCCCTTTATGTGGCTTGACTCATTTCACCATGCTGATGGCTGAAACATCTTCCATTAGTTTCTGCGATTTCTTGATTCACAAGTTAACAAGTTTTCTTTTTATTTATATATAAAATTTAAAGTACAGTTGAGTTTATAGTCATTGTTGTGTGCATTTAAATCTAGTCAAGACCAGTGTTGATTGATGATATTGTTTGCTCTGCTACTCTGCCTGTCTATCATGGCTCACAACACTTGTTTACCTTTCTTTCACTCATTATTTTCCATATTAATGTTCCGTTGCTTGTAGGGAACCTTAATGTTCCCAGTATATAGTTCTGACAACAATTGTTACATCTTTCTAACTACTTGCTAGGCTGCAATTTTCTTGCTATGTATTATCCTTACAATGCTGTACATTTCCTTTGTAGTCCCCTCCTTGTCTGCCGAAGTTGTCAACACATGATGGTACAGATGCTTTAGGATCATTACGACTGGGAAAGTATACTGCGGTGATTAAACTTCTCTTTTTTCACTCAAAGTGGATTAAATTCATGTTCTTAAAATTAAAAAGGACCCTTTTTTTATAGTAAAATGATCATTATCCTGCAGTGGTTTAATGATGTACATTCAACTGATGTCTCTGACAAGGGTGAGGATATTCTTAACCTTCTAACAAAAACACATGGGTGTGAAGTAAGTCCACCATTACCAGAATTTACTCTCTTATTGTTTCAAATTCGTTGTTACAATTTAATCTGATTGAAATCACTGTTTTGTATTTACATAAACCATCTCCTTCTATATTCTATATTGTTGGAATATTGTTCAAGATGGTAGAGATTGTTATACCTGAGTTGCAAGAGATGCGCACTGCTCATGTTGTTCAAATTGGAAGTGAAATGCTGAATTCAATAAACCCTGATATTGAGGATGGGTACGTCCCTTGCCTTTTCTGGATAATAAATTGATAGATTGACAATACAACCTAACATCATTTGAGAATTCATCAAATTTATAATTAGAACTAAAAGACAATCAATGTCATTGCTGACTTTATGCAGGTAATAAAATTTGGATTTACAGTGATATCTTGTTCTTTCCTTTTCTTTTGCAGGAAAGGTGTGAGGTTGAACTACGATAGTCGTATTATTGTTGGACTTTTTCAAACGTTCAGTGCATCTGACTACATTGCCACTCAACGTCTTAGGTGAGGATAGATAGCAAGAGTATTTAGTAGAATTTTCAATTGAGATACTAAGTTGATGCTTGTGCTGTTGACATTTTTGAAGTTACTAAGTCTGATAGCTCAAATTTCTGAAAGCCTACATTTATCAGAGGATAACACAACTATTAGGATCTATTAAAACATGGATAATCCATAATGCTTGTTACGCTCCTGAAAAGAATAGCTATTTCTCTTTTGGGATGTCTTTAAACCATCAAAAAGGATTTTGATTACTTAAAGAGATGCGTGATATACATACTGGTTAAGTATTCAAATCTTTAGATGTAACATACTCTAGTTGTACCTTTATTTCTGTTCATCTCCTTTCTTATGCTCATGTCAAGCTATATTTGAAAGCATACTATATGATGGATGGTCTTCTTCTGAACGGAGAGGATGATCTATGGAGCCAACAGCAGACTAAATTTTTGTTTGGAAGACAGTGATGCTGCTGCAGTAATGGTGGTTATGGTGTCAAAGCCGTCTTTTGTTCTTCATGCAGTTAAATTCTGAATCTTCTTCAAGAAACAGATGTATTTAAATAGTCTAAAAATTCCAGCGAAGGCTTGAATTTAGGAAGTCTTGCCTACATCACTTGTGTTCTTCTCCATTGGAATGTCCATTTTTATACTTGGTATTTACTCCTAAATGTTAATGTACTGACCGAGAACCCATCTCTTTTCTTCCCTCGCCCAATTTTTCCTGTACTGCTTCACATTCGAGTCTGATGTAAGGCACATATAATTTTGAAACTTTTTCACTTTTTCGATATTCGTTCACTTTCTATAGAAAACTAAATCAACCAATTATTGGTCGGACAGACTTGGAGAGGTGTCTAACAAACACATTTATGTTTGCTGCATGATGTTGTTTCTTGTCATGTCATTTCAATCCCTGCTTCAGGAATTCCAAGACAACCACTTTACTTTAGGTCTGGTGATATTGTTACTTGAAAAGAATGATTTTTCTTTTCTGAACAAATGATACATAATATCTGGGTTTTATTAGTTCTAGGAAAATTGAATCGTCTGTTGTGTTCCTTGGGAAAAAGTTACAGTAATTTTTTTTGTCATGGTATCCCTCCTTTTCTTAAAACATATGTTTGAGGGCTATAGGTGGATGCATTTGTTACTTTCTAATATGATTTCATTTGTTGCAGGCGACGAATGATGTGCCATCACATGAAGATTTTCAGAAATGTTGATGTCTTAGTGACTCCAACAACTGGGTATGCAATCTTGTTATCAAAGTTAATTTTGCTTCCCATTGTCGAGTCTCTATCTACACCAAACTCAATGTTGAATATAACTGGGTAGAGGTTACTTCTGCTCATTGGTACTTTGAGCTTACATTTTTTTTTCCCGATATTAGGGAGGACTGAGTCTTAAAAGTTAAAAGAGACTTGGGATATGTTGCTATTGGACTTAAGAGGTTCACTGTCCATATGTTTTGCATATTGATTTATTATTTCATAAGAATTTCTATTACAGAACAAAATGTCATTTTCACTAAACTTATTATCGATTGCACCACTTGTACTGGAACCTCAATATGAAATGTTAAGTTGAAATTAAGATGGTCTGCTTCTTCTTCTTTCTGCAGCATGACAGCACCTGTAATACCTCCTAGTGCTCTTAAATATGGGGAGACTGATTTGCAGGTTACAGGTTTGCCACTGACACGCATCTTTAATAATCTCCATACACTAATATGTTCTATTAAAAACCTGGTGGCAATTAGAAAGGATGGACTTAACCATTTTTTCTTTTTCCTTTTTATTTGATGAACTGAACCAAATGGGATAATGATTCTACTGCTACTAAACGTACTATGACAAATCAGCTATTCATCAGTACAGTATTATTCTTCTTTTACAATCTTATTGCACTGACAAATTTTTCCTTTCTTTCAGCTTGTCTTATGCGGTTTGTTATTGCAGCAAATCTTCTTGGCCTCCCTGCCATTTCTATCCCTGTGAGTTATATCTTATGTGGTGTGATATATTCTACTCATGCTCTGTTTGTTACCTGGAAAATATGATATATGGAATAACTTTTTCTTGGTTTTGAGGAATTACGATTCTTTTGTTTTAAGGATCCCATGTTACCATACATAACTTCTCTTATTTCTTCCCTGACTAATTTAAGTATGCCATTTGATTGCCCAGCATATTCACTAGTATTATGTTAATCTGATTACCACTGGATACAAGGATGATTTCACAAGCAGCCTTATCAATTATCTCAAAATTTACGCCGTCCATATTCAGATCCAAAATATTATTTATTAGCAAGAAGTCAATAGAAACAAGAAAAAGCAAAAAAAAAATTATTCCATCGTTAACAAGCTCCTGCAAGAGAATCGGCGCCTTCTTGGTAGCTGTGCCGGTGAATGACTTGTATAGTTTGTTTAATTTTTTTTTATTTCAGGCACTCAATATCCCATTTCACTATTACTACCCACAATTCATCCCCCTTTACATCAGAGAGATAGGTATTCATTTGGTTAATATCTGGACAGAGATTGCCGGCCTACCACAAGCCATATAACTAGGAGCAAACAAAGAAAGAGAGATCCAATATTCTAAAATTTTCTTAAAGCAGGAGCATCTTGATCCTCTCATAAAAAATCATTACTTGGCATTCCGCTCCAATTCACAAAGAGACACTGTTTTGGAATAACTTTTCAGATGTTCAATTTCAGGTTGGTTATGATAAACAAGGGCTTCCAATAGGATTGCAACTAATTGGCCGTCCATGGGGTGAAGCAACAATTTTGCGTTTAGCTGCTGCAGTAGAGGTATAGTTTCATGAGAATTGAACAGAAATAACTTTTCATTTTGCCATGTTTGCTTCAGTGGTATATGACACTCTTCTTGTGTTTTCAGGAACTATGCACAAAATCTAAGAAGCAACCTGCATCGTTTTATGATGTGTTGAAGGCGAGATAAGAAGCTGCGTTTGATTTCTGTTCCTTTTTTCATTTCAAAATCGTTCGGAGAATCTGGCATTATGATCCACATTTGAAGAGGAAAAATCGTTACTCTGCCACATAAACAACCGATTCATTTTCCCATACATTTGTCAATAAATGACGATTCTCTATAGCTTGACAATGGTGATAGTTCTAATGCTTAGTCATTAAATTAATGGATTATGGCGTTACATAAGTGTGAAAATTTCCAAATAGATCCAATGTATGTTGTATTCGAACTATGGTGAATTGCACAAGTCCTCCGTGTGGTTTGCAGTAGAATTTTGGATGAATCATGTATTTGGGTTCCTGTACTATTGACTAGACTTGCCTCTATTTTTTTTAGTTGGTTCCTTCTCCTCAATAAAATTTATTTATATGGTCTCTCCATTCTACTTTCTTCTATTAAAACACTAATTATGGGCAATTGTTTGAAAAAATGATTGTCCGTTAGATGCCAAGCATAGTTTCAAATAATTGTCATTATGTAATGTAACTATTATTATTTAACAAATTTAGATATATTCGTTATTATTATATGTCATTGTAAAAAATCCAACTATATTTTACACAAATAACAATTATTATTGCTATATAACAATATTATTGCTGCTATTTCCCAAATAACATATTAATAGAAAATTACTTTTTTTCCTATGGTTATTCTACTAGTTAGGTAAATTGTCACTATTGATAACTTTTTCAACATTTGAAATTTAGATGTATTATACAATTCATGCAATCAATTGATTACTATATTCTCAAAAAACAAAGAAAGATTATAATATTAACTTAAAGTTATAATGCATTTTATTATTTTTTGTGTGATATTAAATTATTAGAAGTATTATTATTATATTTAATTAATAAAACTGTTAAAAATATATGAATTAAAATAAATTTATTAATAACTATCAATGCATTCATGATATCGATTATCATAATTGTTATTTTATTATCGAAATCATGATCATCGTTGTTTTAATGATTATATCTATAATTTAAAACTATAACTTATACTCGTGTATTAAGAAATAATGGTAAATTAGATGGAAATTAAACAGAGGAATCACGTGACCAATAAAAACACAAAAGAGATTGATATGTAGGATTTTCCGTAATTTTTTATAACTTGCAGACAAAAGTAGAAGGTTAACCACCAAGGTTCGGTGAACTAATGTGTTTTTTGTGTAGGTCGTTCGACGAAGACTTGGCATAGTCTCATACTGAAGGGAAGTAGACGTGCGCGTGTTGGGATTTAACCGCAAAGGCCTAATGTTTCAAATTTCGTTGTACTTTGTCGTGGTGGATTCACCCTACTGTTCCCTATATGTTTTTATCTGTTTCAGTACCATGACTAGCTGGGAATGCATCTACCTAACTTCTCTCAAACCATTAATTATCAATTTTCAAAAGTAATCTCAATATGCCAAACAGCTAGTCGAGTAAATTGGATGCCTCTTCCTTGCAACCTCGCTAGCGACGTCCAACCTAGAAGAATCTCTCCAAGATAGTAATCGCAAAATTTCCTATGAATGGGACTCGTCTCCTAAAACCCCCTTTCTGCCCATAAATAGTTAGTAAACTCATAAAATAAATTAACTTATAAGCACAGTTTCCTCATCATTTACCCTACCGCGTAAAAGTCTCGCTTTGCTTTGGGGTAGTACAATAGGAAGGAACTTGTCTCGCTGCATTAAAAATGATATTGACTAAAAAAAATAAGAATAATAATAAAATCAAGAACTCATTCAACAATAGCTATGTATTAGATTATTTCACGCGGTAGACTGAAGAGCAAACAAAATACATAAAATTATTTTATTTTGATATCTCATGTTATATTGTGTGTCTATCAAAATATATTAAATTTTATATTTGAATAATTATTTTTTATTTTTTCATAAATTTTTTATAAAAAAATTATTTAATAATATAAAAAATGTTAAAACCAATAAATTCTTAGCAAAAAAATTATTTTTTTAATGTTTTTTAAATATTTTTTGCCTTAAAATTTTTTATTAAAAAATTAAAAAAAAGACCAAAGTGATAAAAATGAAACAAAAAAAATGGACCGAAACCAAATAAAAAATATTTTTCAGATTTAAAAAAACCATATTTAAAAAAGAGAGATCAAAGTGTAATGTTAAAAAAACTTTCATTATAAATGTATTAAAAACGTTTGAAAACTACAAAAATGTCACCGCATAATAAAAGGAATAATGATTACGAGTGCGTGTGAATAGTAAAATAAGTGTGAATAAATAGTGTTTCAAATAATGAATGAATGGTCTTACTTTAGGTTTATTTATAATTATACCAGAACAAATGCAACAATAGGATGCATGAGAAGTCAATTCTCAGTGGTCAGATTTCTTTTTTTCTTTTTTTTTTCAGTTGATGACTTTGAATTCTATAGTGGGAGAATGAAAAACCATGAATGGAAAGTAATTAAAAAACAATTATAAGTTATGAGTTCTTCATGTTTAAAACTCTTAAAAAAAAAAAAATTCCTAAATGTGCCGCTTGATAATTAAATTCTCAGGCCACTATGTCAGGGTTTAACGAAAAAACAAGCTGTTTTTAATAAGACAGGGCTCAGCAAGAGTTCAATGTCTAAATTATAACAATTGATTTGAATAAAATAAATCACTCAAAAAGGATATGAGAAAAAAGAGAGAGAGAGAGGAGTTGGGGGAGCTGGCATGCAACGACGTGAGGGACAGCATTTAAAACTTGCCAACAAAATGCAGAACTAAGTCCGCGCTTGTTTGCCGAAAAGTATTTTCTTGAAAACCATTTTCCTGATGTTCTTTTACTCGATTGTATTTTGAAAAATTGGTCAACGAAATTTATTTTCCAATTAAAGAAAAAATTAACTTTTAGAGAGAGAAAATTTATATATATAATACTTTAAAATATATAATATTATAAAATAATAAATTACTAATATATTTATATAGAAAAAAATACATTATAATAAATCAATATATTATATGTAAATTTATATCAATTTAATATATCAATGCATATAATGCTTTAATTTAATAATATTGCTAGAAAATACATTAAAATACACGTATTATATTATACATTAATTATAAATTTTAAATCATATAAATTGTATTATAAAATAAAATACTATATAGAAAAATATTTTCAATGTTTATGAAAGATAAAAAATATTTGATAACGATAAAAACTCAACTATTTTTTTTTTTAAATTAATGGCTCAAACTATATTATTCTAAAATTTATTTTTTATGATACGGTCAAACACTAGAAAATGATTTCCAGTTCATTTTTTAATGATGCAATCCAACATTAAAAGGTAATTTATCTTCTTGAAAATCATTTTTCTTAAAATTCACTTTTTAAAAGGAACATACTTTCGGACAAACAAACAAGTCCTAACAACAGGAGAGCAATAAGACGAAACCCATTAAAACACACCAAACTATTATAAGACAGATAACTCTCTCCTCTTTTCCTCTCATAGAATTTCACGCCCAAATCACAAACAGCTTCCTTTTTCATCTTCAGGTTGGTCGATCTTTTCAATGTTTGATCAAATTCTTTTTTGCTGCTTCTTTCAAGAAAGCAAACACATTTGAATATGGTTGACTTTATTTATTTACAGAAAGCAGTTTCAAGTTTTACAGATGAAGTGTTTGCTTAATTATGTCTTAATTTTATTTTTTTTCTTTTCCGTTGTTTAGTTTTTCCTATAAAGAATGGGAAAGAAACGTGTGATGGTGCCGGCTGAGGATGTCGACTTGGCCACCGTCATGTACGAGCCTGAAGTTATCCAAGGTTTTTCTTTCTTCATTAAAACTCACATTTTACTCATAAATTATATATATGTCATCCATTTAGTTACTATCTATCTGGTTTTTTTAAAAAAAATTACAGCTCCGCATTTGACTGGGTTGACATTTAAGCTGTTTGTAAAGTTACTTGAGACTCCACTTGTTGGTCCTTTGATTGTATCACATTTGAAGAAGGAGAACAAGATGACTGAGGTCTGTCTCCTATTTGATCTTCTTCTTATTATTATTATGGCTTATTGTATAAAAAAACATAAACTTTTCACTTTTTAATCATATTAGCACGTTATTTCTATGTTAGACATAAACGACACAAACTAAGCTTCTGTTAACTATATTAGCACGTCTGAATTTTTTCAGCCAAAATTCTGTTAACATTTGACGTGACAAGAAATTTTAATCTTTGCTGTTAACATTCCCCCTGCCACGTCAGATGTTAACGGAGTTTTAGCCGGAAAAATCACACTCTCTAATATGGTTAACAAAAGTTTAGTTTGTGTATTTTGTGTCCAACATTGAAAGAATGTACTAATATAATTAAAAAGTGTAAAATTTGTGTTTTTTTGGTACAATAAGCCTATTATTATTTATTATTAACCAAGTCGGTGTTAATTTTTGTGTCATGAAGAAGACAGTTGATTAAAAGAGTTTTAAATGTTTCTTTGTTCGTTAATGTCAGTTGCTGCATAATACTGTGATACCGGAAGCGCCTATGTATAGACCTGAATATCCTCCTCAAGGTTTGTTATTGTTCCCTCTCATTTGTTTTGTTATTTGTTTCATGTTCTATATACACTGCAAGAGCGTGCTAATACAGGTTTGTTATTTGATTTCAATTTGGTCCTCCAGAGTACAAGTAATCGATTTATGAACAACCTGGAAAATTGGATTGAAAAATGGAACTTTTTCCCTTCATTATACGGATTTTAATAAATTGCTGCTCTTTATTCACTGTAAAATAAACAAACATAATTGTTAGTCTGTTTATTTTGAGCTGATGCTGCTGGTATTAATGTGTTTACAGAACCAGAACCTGGAGTTGTCGTTGTGGATGAAGATGGAAAACCAGAAGACCGGGTAGAATCAGCCTTGAACTGTCTTCCTCCTTACAATGCTGCTAGCTGCTGGAATGAGGACTTGGCTTCATCATTTAGGTATTGGAAGATACGCGATTATGCACATGCTTATCGGTCTAATATCATCACTCCTGCTATGGTGAGTGCCTAAAGTTTCAATTTCTTTCTCTTTTCTTAACTCATTTCAGAGGATCTCACATTTGCCTTGCAGGTTGCTGAGCGCATCATCTCAGTTATTGAAGAGTTTAACAAAAAGAAGCCCCCAATGCCATTGTTGATTTCTTTTGATCCTGAAGTAGTCAGGAAGCAAGCTGCAGCTTCTACAAAGAGGTTTGAGGAAGGTATGAATTACATTTGATGATGTATAGCTATTTGCAGATGCACTATAGTAGAGTTTGGGATTACAGATAAGTTGTCGTAGAGTTAAACTGCAAGTTATCATCTTATGTGCTTTGTCTGGTGCTGATTGTGTAGGAAATCCAATATCCATCTTGGATGGCATTTTCATCGCAATCAAGGATGATATAGACTTGCATCCACATCCATCCAAGGGTACATAATGACACTTTTTTCCTGATTTCGTGACATATTTTGTAAAGATTCTTAGAAGCCAAGGTAATACTTGATCTTCGATGACAGGTGGGACTACGTGGATGCATGAGGTCCGCTCTGTGGAAGAGGATGCAGTTAGTGTTTCGAGACTGCGTAGCTGTGGTGTGATATTTGTAGGAAAGGCAAATATGCACGAGTTAGGCATGGGCACAACTGGGAACAATCCAAATTATGGGTCAGTTCATTGCTTGAAACCACATTTTATACGGGACTTTGATAATGCTGATTGAACTTCCTAATGGATGTTAATCATAATTGCACAATCAATTGGATTCTTTAATAGTTGAGTTCTTAATTTCTATATAATGGTGCAGAACAACAAGAAACCCTCATGCAGTGGATAGGTACACTGGCGGATCTTCCTCAGGCCCAGCAGCAATCGTAGGCTCTGGTTTATGCTCTGCTGCCTTGGGAACTGATGGTGGAGGTTGTGCAGATATTTTTGATGGTCTAACTTTTGATTGAATTTTACAATATACTGATTGTGGGTGCTTAATTTAATGAAAGAAAGGCAGGTTCTGTCCGTGTTCCTTCTTCCCTTTGTGGTGTAGTGGGCTTGAAAACAACATATGGTCGGACAGACATGAGAGGGTAAGCTTTTTTATGATTGTTCCACTGTTGCAAGTTATAACTAGCTTTGCAGCTTTTGTGTTTCTTATAAATGAGTACTCTTCTGAGACGAAATTATTAAAAAAGGGCAAAAATGAATGGCATGTGTGACTTGATATGAAAAGTTATAGTTTTCTGACAGTAGAGTTTTCTTTATTCTAAACTCTTTCTTGGTTCTATAATGATGTAGTTCGTTATGTGACTCTGGGACTGTTGAAATTATCGGACCAATTGCATCTTCTGTGGAGGATGTCATGCTCGTGTAAGTATTTCAGTTTTGTCAATGAATTTTACTTACTAGAGATTTATCTATATGCGGTCAGACTGTATGTATCTGTATTGTAGTTGAACAAGCTTCTGTATTTTTATTCTACTGGAACTGGTTTCACTTACTTGACACAAACTATGTGCTTCCCATTGGCTGAATGACTTCACAATATTCGCTAACTACATGTACTCTATTTTGAAAGAGATATAATTCATTGCTGAATATTTTCACTACTAGTCTGCAACCATTACTAATTAGAAGATATGCCGGGTGAGAAAACTGAAAAAGAAGGGGAGAGAGAAAAACACTGCTTGAATTCTTGGTGTAATTTGTGTTTGCAGACGTTATACTTGTAAAGTCAAGACTTGGGCTTGGTTGATGTTTGAGATTGGATTTCTTGAACAGTTGATTTCAGTGTTTGCATTGTAAAAACTGCTATTCACCTTATGTTTGATTTATCAGGTATTCAGCAATTTTGGGCTCCCATCCTGCAGATAGGATCAGCATGAATCCGGTAATTTCATAAAAATCATCATCTGTCAAACAATAAAAAAATTATTCAAATTACTCTCTGTCCTCCCTTAATCTTTTTGAGGCTTGACTCCTTTCATCATAAAGTTTTTGTGGTTTCTTGCTTCATAAGTTGGCAAGCTTTTTATTTCTGAAATAATAGGGCTGCTGAGTTTATAGTTAATACTGTCTGCTTCTAAATCCTGACATTAGCGTTCATTGCTGATATAGTTCTCTCTGCTATTCTGCCAGCTGTTAAGGTTCATGAGATTTGTTAACTGATTCCTTCCCTTATTGTTACCATCTTCACTTTATAAATCTTGCAGGAAACCTTAATGTTCCAAGCATATAGTTCTGACAATGTTACATCTTTTGCCCTGCATTCCCATATTTTACACTTAACTGAGGCGACTTCTAACTGCTTGTTAGGATGCAGTTTCTTGCTATCTACTATCCTTACAATGCTGTACTTGTCCTTTGTAGTCCCCTCCTTGTCTGCCGAAGTTGTCAACACATGATGGTATGGATGCTTTAGCATCATTACGACTGGGAAAGTATACTGCTGTAATTAAACTTCTCTTTTCACTCGAAGTGAATTAAATTAAATGTTCTTAGAAATAAAAAGAACACTTTTTTGAGATATGATTATCCTGCAGTGGTTTAATGATGTACATTCTACTGATGTCTCTGACAAGTGTGAGGATATTCTTAACCTTCTGTCGAGAACACATGGGTGTGAAGTAAGTCCATCATTACCATAATGTACCCTGTTTTAAACTCATTCTTACAATATAATCTCCTCCTATACTGAGAATGTAATTTTCTTGGAATATGGTTCAAGATGGTAGAGATTGTTATACCTGAGATGCAAGAGATGCGCACTGCTCATCTTGTTTCAATTGGATCTGAATTTCTAAATTCCTTAATTCCTGATATTGAGGATGGGTAAGTTTTTTGCCTTTTCTGAAGAGTACATTAATTGATTGACAACACAACCTAAAATCATTTGAGAGTTCATCAAATGCATAATAAGAACAACTCAAGGTAATCATTATCATTGCTGACTTTGTATTTTATATTGGTAAGAAATTTTGGATTTATGGTGATATCCTGTTCTTATTCTTTTGCAGGAAAGGTGTGAGGTTGAGCTACGACAGTCGTACTAGTGTTGGACTTTTTCAATCATTCAGTGCATCAGACTACATCACTGCCCAATGTATAAGGTGAGGATGGATAACAAGAACAATATCTAGATTTTCATTTGGGATACAAAGTTGATACATATGCTGTTGATACTTTTGAAGTTTCTAATTTCATAGCTCAAGTTTCTGAGGGCCTACATCTCAGAGTTATCACATAACTTACTGAAGCTATGCTCCATTAAGTAAAACATGAATAATCCTTAATGTTCACTATGCTCCATTAAGGGGAATTGACTCCCCTTCGTGGCATGTCTATAAGCCATCAAAAAAGGAACTTGATCTCTTAAATAGAGTGTGGTATACTCTGGTTCCATCTTCAAATTTCTCTCTTCTTTACAATGTACCATATTCTAGTTGTACCTTTATTTCTGTTTATCTCCTTTCTTTAGCTTACCTTCAGCAGCTTGCTGGATTCGAAAGTATACTGTTTGATGGGAAGTCTTCTTCTTATTGAAGAGAATCAGTGTGTAAAAAGATCTACGGAGCCAAATCATATAGTTTTCTATGTTCCTTGAAAAAATTATATACTTGTTCTGTCAGATGTTCTTTATTTTCTAAATTATATGTTTGAAAAGTTTTAGTTGGATGCATTTCTTACTTTTTGATCTGATTCCATCAGGCGAAGAATAATGCACCATCATATGGAGATTTTCAAAAAGGTTGATGTCATAGTGACGCCAACAACTGGGTATGCAATTTTTACTATTATCATAGTTATTTGTTCTCTCACAGTAAAGTCACTATCTGCAACGAACTCGATTATGTCACCTAACTGGGTAGATGTTACTTCTTTCCATTAACATTTGAGTTTACTTTCTTTTTTTTTTTTTTTTTTGGGGTATGATATTACTGGTTCCATAAGAGATCTCTACACTGGACTTTAGTGATTTACGTAAGCATTGACTTACATATTGATTTCTTGATTCACTGTAATACTTTCTTGGTGAGAATGTCATTTTCGTTAGAAATTCAGAGTTGTTACCTCGATTTCTATGCACTTACTGGAAGAAGATGCTCCTGCTATATTTATTATGATTATCACTTGTACAGAATCCTCTGTATGATGTTTATAAAGAGCTCTTCTTGTTCTTCTAATTTTTCTTTACAGCATGACAGCACCCAAAATACCTACTAGTGCTCTTAGCTATGGAGAGACAGATATGCAGGTTACAGGTTTGTCCGTTGATACTCATCTTTCATAATTTCCATACACCAATTTGTGTCGTAGAACAGCTGGTCACAATTAGAAATCTTGAACTTGACCACTTCTTAATCAAATGGAGATCGATGATTCTATTGCTATGTCTTCTGACATCAAAGATGTATTATAGTCAATCAGCTATTTGTCAGTACTATATTATTTTCGTGTACAATCTTATTTATATCCTTGCTATCAGGTTATCTCATGCGCTTTGTTGTTGCTGCAAATCTTCTTGGTCTCCCTGCCATTTCTATCCCTGTGAGTTATTCCTTTCCCTGGAAGAAATATGGTGAATCATTTTTATTTCTAATTTTTTTTTTCCCATTTAAGATGCATACTTCATATCCTATTTACGACTTTATTGATTGTAATTCATGTTATCTCTTTGCACCATTACGATTCATATTCATTAGGTTAATACCTGAAAAAAAAATTGCTGGCCTATCATAACTAGTGCAGCCAGGAGCAAACAAAAACATCAATATCCAAAATAAATTTTTAATGCAGGAGCATCTTCATCCTCAGAAATCCCTGCATAATGACAGTTCCTTAGGAATGGAATAGTTACACACATTAAACATGTTCATTCTCAGGTTGGTTATGATAAACAAGGGCTTCCGATAGGGTTGCAACTAATCGGTCGGCCATGGGGTGAAGCAACACTGTTGCGTTTAGCTTCTGCAGTAGAGGTATAGTTTCTTGAGACCTGAAAAAAGATAGACATTTGCATTGTGATGGGTGTTTAGTTGAACGATACAATTTTTTTATGTTTTCAGGAACTATGTGTTAAACCTAAGAAGCAGCCTGCATCATTTTATGATGTTTTGAAGACAAAATAAAACATTGCATCTCCCTTTTATTGCTTATGGTCTCTTCACATGATTCCTCTGAAGGATCTAACATTATGATTCATGTTCTTTTCAAAAAGACAATTCGTTACCGTGCTTATAAACAATAGATTCATTTTCATGCAAATTCGTCAATAAATTGTAATTGCCTATAACTCCGGTAATTTAAGTCTTATTGACTGTGGGATAGTTTTCTTTGTAACACGGATCCCATGAGCGTGTAAATTAATGCTTTATATCCTCAAGCAACAGAGAAATTGGAAGATAGAAGCCCAATTTACATGACGCCACCTATTTGATAGTTTTGGTAATTTGGCAAAATATTATGTATATGTTACATGCCATTCCATAAATGTGAAAAATTAGCAACGAGACCAGTACAAGAAACCATATTATAGACGTAGACGGCACATACAAGGTCCAGATAAATTATTGTAACTTGAAATAAAAAATTGAAGATAGCTTGTGGCTGGAGAAGGTCCATAAACAATGTAATGTTGCGTTAGAAGGGACATCAAGAGATCAACCCAAATTGAGTGTTAGTAACTGCAAAAGGTTTTTGGTGGACTGTACCCTAGTCTTGTCTATTTCCTATATGGTTCAAATAACATGTCTCCTGACTGGGAATGCATCCCGGTTTCGGGTAACAGGAGTGAACATTGGAGTAAAAGGAATGGACAAAACATTTAATTTATAATGCCCAAATCAAATTCAATCTGTTCATCACCTAAACTGAATTCGGTGCTTTGTCCTCCGCAACATTGTTAGGGAGATCCAGCCCAGAAGGAACCTTTCCAGGATAGTTAGTTGTCGAAACATCTGATCCAATCATACTGCAGAAAGAATACAAACTCACATAAGAAGCTGTAAAGATAACACGATTATTACACTTCATTAAGGATTTCCGACTCACCTTCTGTCAACAATGACCATAGATCGTAGCTCACAATTAGCAAAGCTGCAAGTGAAAGAAGTCATTTCTTATTTAAGAAAGGATTGTACATTAAAAGAAATTTAATTTGACATCCAATTAGATACCGCAAGAAAGCGCCACCCTAAACTGCAATGCATATCACATTAACCAACGTGATGCATGAGAAAAGCATTAGAATAAGGCAGTAAGGCACCAATAGGGCAGTCAAAGGTTTTCAGTTCAAATTTCGTTGGCCAAAAAGTACATGATTCCTTTTCAGCTCAAATCTAAGCAGAATGGAAAAGGTAACCCATAACTTCTATTGGAGAGGACTGCAGGAAAAGATGGAAGAATAAATTGTTGATAATAACCCAAGGAAAATAGCAGAACACTCCAGAAGTTCAAGAGAGCAGCCATTGCTTGGTGTTATGGTAGAAGCCTTGGCATGCAACCAATTGGTTGCAGCTTCAAAATTTTGAGCAGCCACATCATGCAAAAATGCTAAAAGGTGACTCCAACTTCTCCAATGGTAAGTAAACCTTGCAGCCTAAGAATTTTGTGATTAAAGAATTGCCATCTATATGCAAAAGTTAAACTCGCAGGCAGCTCACCGTGTGCACATTTCTTTCTTCACCAATGGATGACAGTCATTTCCAAATGCACGTAATGTGTGAACCAAAAACCCGCTATGGGTAACAATTGCTATCTCCTTCTCTTTCCTTGTCCACAACCTGCCATGTGAATGGTTGAGGCCTAAGGTGCAACATATAAGACACATTTACGACAAATTCCATATGTAGCAACAATATCTAAAATAATAGTTCAAAATCACACATCACAGCAAATTCAACAAATGACGATAACAGATGATATTAAGCAAACCCAGAATATCTGATGGAAAGCAACCCTAATTCTAGTCACTTAGATTGTGAAGTTTAGATGAAACATAAGAGCCTATGAGGTTCGAGTTAATGCAAAAAGTTCTCAAATAATTTACAGATGGGGTCTTAAAAAAGGCACCTCTTGCATGTTTACGAGATTCTAAGAGAGTATAAAGAAAAACAGAGCCCTATCTATAGAAAGCGACGATTCACCAGTTCAAAAACTTCAGTCCCCTTGCAGCAAGTTCCTCAGTTGTCTCTCTCACATCGGCCTTCCACAGTACATCCTCATCAGTTTCTATCTGAACAGAACATCAAAAGGTTATTTAATTTGATACTCGTGAAAATAACAAGAAGTTAGCCTTAACTAATACAGCCACCAAAAATAACATGCACAGTAAATGAATTTATAACTTTTGCTTGTATCACTTTATCTTAGAAATCCAAATACTTGCCAGTGAAAAGTCAACTGCAGGAAAAATAAATTGATAGTCGCTGATATTGTGTCTCTTGTCACAAGGATGTACGCCCTGCAACCAATATGACACATAAGATAACTATGTAAGCTCTGTTATTCTTTAGTTCTCCCCTGTGCATGAGAAATACCAATCGCTCAGAACTAGTTTATAGGAGCTCAAAGAGTTCTTGTAAGGCATAAAAGTAATGAAGTCAAGAATCAAGGTCAATGCCCAATTTTTCTCAAAGAAAGCATTAATTCTTCAGATTCCCTGCAGAACTTAGAAATGTGGAATTTGTCCAAATTCGAAGTATCTTTTATTTCAAGAAAAACAAATAGTACACTAGACATACAAAATGTTCTCGACAATCCTCTACTGCAATGAATGGCGGGGAATTGCAACTTGAAATTGCTGCTCGACCACTGTTTCCAGCATTTGCCACCATTAGTGGCAGTGTGTTCATCCTATCTGTGTAGCCTTCCCCACCAAAAACTCCAACAGCTGTTTGCAATGTCCTACAAGTCACAGTGATCAAAACTTACTAACAGAACATCTCAGAAAAAGAAGAATAAGGGAATGAGAAAGTGTCCGCTAATCAAAAGCAAAAAATGGAAAAATACAGACTGTGAATTGAGAATATATTCTTCCTTCAGAAGAGCTTCTAGTTGCATGCGTAAGTGAAAATTTATGAACTTTGTTAATAAGTAGAAGCTTGATGAATCTAGAACTTGATATAAGATCAGCTTTGACCAGAGAAGAATTACATTTATCAACAAAAGAAGTTCCATCTATCTGTACTGAAATGGGCGAAAATATATCCATGAAATTAGTACCTAAGCAATGGGGATGTGACAACTATTTCAACCCTCCTGATGAGCCCAGACGCATGGACATGCTTGCGCAAATTATCAACCTAACAAAAGCAGCAGCTTCTTTTACGAGATATCTTTCTTAATAGTACAAAATTCTGTTCAGGACTAGCTTGAGCACATGAATCAAATGAGTTCCTCTCATATTGAAATCTGATTGCTTGGTGTGTTACCTGCTGCCAACCTAGTGGGGTGATGGGTGCATCCAAATATTCGGGATTCAAGAATGCTTTGTAGTTCTTTTCCCCCTCAACATTATGCAATCCTTGAGCATGCCTCACCTGAATGCATGGTATTGTAAGACCACAATGCCTTGATTTCAGCACAAAAGCCAAGAAAGAAGGCACTTTTGGACATCCTTCATCCATTCAGACCAAATATGCAGCACATTTGTATCCATAATTGACACAGAACATCGTTTACGAAGCAAAAAATTTGATACCAACCAGATGAATAGTTTTGCAGCGGTGCAACGGATACAAACTCAGACCTGGACCACCCTCCATAATCTGCAACTGAACTTAGTTAAAACACCTACTAGCTTTAAAAGAGAGCAAGAGAAAACACCTAATACCATTAATAAACATAAAAATTTTCGAAAACAGTCCTAAGAAAACAATGATCGAGTCAAGGGTGCGATTTTATAATACAAAGGGCTCGGCTCCCGGGGGACCATTTGCAACCAATAGCACTTTTACCTTTGGGCGGGGGTAATCAATCAACTAAATCAGGAATCGGTTTCATAAATGAACTACAATAGGGACAACTAAAAGAAATGGAACTTAAATCAGGAAAATAACTTAGAAATCACCATTAAGATAACAAAATCTGCTCACCCCACTTTATTATTATAGTTCATTATTAAGAAGTAGTAGATGAAATCAGCAGACAATTTGGAAAATTATTACTTTATGATAGCAAGAGCAAGTAAAGTTGAAGTTTCTGTAAGCAGCTTCAAACACAAATCAAATGTAAATACCTCATAAAGAACAAAAAATAAATAAATAAATTCGAGTAATGTAAAAGAAATACAGAATCTACCTAAGAATCCAACAAAAAGAACGCCTGCATTTCTCTATGGAAAAAAAAAACAGAGAGCATCACAAGCGATTACGAAATCGACGAATAAAAAATAGACGTAGAGAAGATGGGATTCTAATGACTGGAAAAGAGACAGACAGCTTAGTCATAAATGTGCGAGTTAAATTATGTAGTATGTAATAAGGTTCAAGAGATGGCGATGCGTTCTTATTTCTTACCAGAGAGAGGAGAGGAGGAGGAGGAGGAGGCGTTTGACAGTGACGATCACTTCAACAAGTAGTTGTTCAAAGATTAAGAATGGTAGAGAGAAACTAGTAGTACTAGTTTTATTTTTTATTTTTTATTTTTAATAATAATTGCACGACAGTCTGAACTTTTAATAAGATCCACTAATCCTGCCCCTCTAGAGTCTAATCTAAGACTCTACGTTTTAATCTTTTGCGTTTCTGTTTTGATTTCCTGTTAGTTTTTCCTTTTATTTATAATAGCTCTCTTGTGGGACGTGGAATCTAAGTGATGCCTTTTTTATTGTTTTTTACTGGGAGCAGGATGGCCCTTTCTGACCTTTCATTCTTGGCAAGTGGCAACTGAATCACGTGGCAGGGAATCTATAAGAGGGAATTTTATTTTTTAAGGAGAAATGCACTGTAAGTACGTTAACTTTAAATTTGTCCAACTTGAGTATATTGAATTAATTTTTTTTGTTTGAGTATATTAATTTTAAAAAAAATTCAATCAAGTATTTTTATCTATTTCTGTGTTAAATGATGATGTGTTCATTAATTCATAATATTAAATTATAAATTTTTTCTCAATCAAATAAATAGATTTTTTTTTGTTTAAGTACATTAATTTTTTTAAAACCATTAATTAAGTATTTTCATCAATTTTTTTTTGTTAATTGATCAAGTGTCGTTGCTCTCAAAATATAAAATTATAAAATTTTCTTCTTTTCATTGAAGGAAACTTGCTCTCAAATTATTTTATCATTTTAAAATTTGAGAAATAATTAAAAAATATTATTTTTTAGGAATAAAACTCTAAATTAAACTCAATTAGGTTTATACGTGAAAATTAAAAAAAAAAACACAAATGTGAGATTTTTTATAAAAAAAAATGCATTGTTTATAACTATTTAGGAAGAAAGTTCCCTCCTACAAAAAGAAGACAAATTTATAATTTGATATTTTAGAGTTAACAAACACATTACTAGTTCATAAAAAAATTGACAAAAGTATTTGATTGATAATTTTGAAAAAATCAATATACTCAAACGAAAAAAATTAAAATTCATGTATTTAATCGAAAAAAAAGGATAAAATTATAATATGGTATTTTAGGTGTAACTAATACGTCATTAATTAGCAAAAAAAATAATGAATATATTTGGTTGATAATTTTTAAAAAAATTTGATGTACTCAAATAAAAAAATTAAGTTCTATGTACTCAATGGGAAAAAAAAACTCAATGTACTTATACTATAATTATCTCAATTCTTATATATATATATATATATATATATATGATTCAATCTAACTAACATATTACTAATTAACAAATCAATGAGCTTGCGATCGATTGATTGGTGGTTCTAACATTGATCATTTTCATTAAAAATATACATGCGATGGGAATAATATTGTATTGGTGTTATTATCCCCCTCACTTGTTGCATATCCTTTCCATCCCATTGCCTCGAGTGATAAGGATAAATTAATTAGGTGATGGTTTTTCTTTACAACTCTATAACTAAGCGAGTAGTATACGTTACCTTCTCTAACTCCGTAACTAGTAATAAAGGCCTATCACACTTGTCTAACTACTTATAGTTATCCTCTCTACTACGGCTTAGTATATAAGAAACTATTGATGTAAAGTATTTGTGTGACTCAATAAAATCTTTACATGGTATCAAAGCTTCATCCGGCCTAACGATCAAAAAAACATGTCCTTCCTTTTTTTATGCATACGTCTTTTTTTCGAGTACTAATCCGGACTTCACAATCCTCTCATCATGACGAACATAACCTAATGTCGATCTCTTCCTCCTTACCCGCTATTGCAATAGCCCTACCTCCTCATATACACGACCCATCCATCCTCAAACTCGTTTCCACAAACTTCATCCTTTGGCAAACACAACTCTAACCCCTTCTATGTTGCCGAGGCCTTATTCACCATATTAATGGATCCCAACTCCCCCAATAACACTTGCGGACAACGAACCTAATCCCTTATGTACACTGATGGGAACGTCATGATCAACTTGTCCTCACCTGGATAGTTGGCTCCCTTTCGAAATTGTTCTACCCTTGTTGTGGGCGCCTCCACAGCCCTACGAGGCTTGGCTCAAAATCACGAGTACCATATGGTTCCGGCACCGGAACCCAAATCAACCATTTAAAGAGTAGCCTTTGTCATCTTGTTCAGTGCACTCCAAAATCTGTCTAGTAATACTTTCAAAGAGAAAAAACCATATTTGATGTCCTCCACTCACTTGGTTCACCAATTCTTATGGATGATCTAGTTCAAGCTCTACTCCATGGCTTTAGCACTCCTTTTCGACCCTTCGTACGATCGATTGAATCTCGTTATGAGTCGGTATCTTATGAGACTCTATATGGTCTTGCTCTTAGTGAAGAGTTCTAAATGCATGATAACACTCAACATAATGAAGTTCTTATCTTTGTCTATTATGATAACCGACGGTACCCCTCTCGTGGTCGAGGTCGTCGTAGTGGACGTCCCACATCCTTTTCTCACCAAAGAACTCTTTCATCCTGTGATACTCAACCCGAGTCACCTATTGTGATATGCTACAACTCGTAATGGCAATGGTCACCTTGCCAACATCTATCCGTCTCTTAAATCATGCCCCTCCAATCGACTCTCCAAACCTTCCTCTCATCTTGCCTATACTTCATCTACCATACCTAGCTCTCGGTGGATTATTGACACGAGTACCACTCATCACATGATGGCGTACTTGAAAAATCTTTCCATCCACAATGAGTATACTCGGTCCAAAGGAGATGCAACTCACCGATGGTAAACACGTTCTTATTTCACATATTGGTCATTCTCCCTTTCATCTCAATAATAAATCATTCACTCTCAATAATATACTTGTATGTTCCTATGAGTACCTAAAACTTATTATCTATTAGTAGCTTTACTTGCACATAATTCTTGTTCTATTGAGTTTTTTCCTAATAAATTTTTGGTGAAGGACTTGGACACACGGGATATTCTCGAAGTCGGTCGGTTTGACAAAGGACTCTACACACTTTCATCTACTGCAGTTTTGGGTCGCAACTCCCACATTCAAGCTCACAATACTTCATTATCCACTTAGCATACTCATCTTGGTCATGTATCTACTAGAACGGTTCATCAAGCTTTGAAACACATTGGATTATATGTGTCTCCATCATTACATTCTTCTTTATGTCATGCTTGTAGCTTAAGCAAAATTCATAAACTACCATTCCCTCAATCTACTTTTTTTAGCAAAAGAACATTAGTGTTAGTTTATTCGATGTTTAGGGTTTTTTTCATGTTCTATCTATTGATGGGTATTCTTACTAGTGCTTTTCTATGATTACTTTAACAAATATTGTTGTTTATTTTTTCTTCGATATAAATCAAAAGTACTAAGTTCTTTCATTAAATTCGACACATGGTTGAAAAACATTTTGGCAAACCCATCAAACAATTCCAATATGACTCGGGGAGGAAAGTACCAAGCCTTAATCAAATACTTGAATCCCAATGGCATCTCTCGATGAAGTGCATATCCCAAAACCCTTGAGGAAAATGGTTATGCCGAACACAAACATCGTCACATTGTTGGAAATGGCCTTGCTTTTCTTACTCACGCATCCGTCCCTCTTGAATTCGGACTTACGCATTTGATGTAACCATTTACACCATCAACAAATTACCTACCCCCGTGTACAAAACCAATGCCACGACCTTGTTCTTTTTAGCATGCCTTCACCATACAAAGAACTCAAAGTATTTGATTGCCTTTATTATCTTTGGTTACGCCATTGTGCAAAATATAAGCTTGCGTTGCGTTCTTTTGCTTGTATTTTCTTAGGATATAGCAAAACTCATAAGGGATATATTTGCTATGCTATTTTCACTAAGAAATTCTTTATCTCATGTCATGTTTTATTTGATAAACGAGTTTTTCCTTTTGTACCACCACTAAAAAACTCACATGTGTCCAATAATCCTTCCGCACTCGATACTACATCCAACCCGAGTTAACACTCCCGTTCCAAACCAGCATAATTCTTCCACCTCACGTATGTCTTCAAGTCCAAATAATCTATCAAAGGAACCAGCCACGACCTCTATCTCACCACCCCTCTACTTTTGTATTTCCATTTCCCCGTAAAACCTCTTGGCATGCTAAAGTAATTCCTAGGGATAAAAGTTAAATGGAGGCCTTTAAGTCTCGTTTCTTCATTAACAAAAGTATGCTTAGTGAAGTCCCGTAAAAAGCCAATATGCATCGAGCCAATAGCCTTGACACCCTCGCTTGTCCTAACACAAAGTTACAAACGGGAGGAAGAACTCCATGTGCTAATCCTTTCTTATATCGCAGCCTTGTATATGGCTTATAGTACCTTAGAATCGCTCATCCCAACATTGCATATCCTATAAATAAAATCACTCGGTACATGCATTCTCCTACGAATCCCCATTGGATAACATTGAAACGCATCATTCGCTACCTCCAAACCATAAAATCTTAGGAGTTATAACTTCATCGGTCCACCGATTTCTCCCTTACAACACATATAAATTCGATCGAAGAGGCAATGTTAATGATCGCAAAAGCACTTCGGCTATGCGATTTATCTTGGTCAAAACCCGATATCCTAGCATTCTTGTAAACAATGTACTCGTTATTTGTTCCTCTACGTAGCGAGAATACGAGCCTTGTTAGTGGCTTGCTCGAAAGTTGATTGGATAGAATCTCTCCCGAAGGAAATTGGATTCCCTATCCATAGAGCATCGAAAATTTGGTGTGATAATGTGTCCGCAACTTATCTTACAAATGCACCAATCTTCCATTCACGATCAAAGCATTTGGAAATCGATTTTCATTTTGTCCATGACAAAGTTTGCTAAGGCATGCTCCGGGTCTCCTACCTACCTACGACTAATCGGATCGCCGACATTCTCACCCGACCTCGCCCAAGCCATAATTTTAGAAACTTCACCACAAGTTACTCGTTCTCGCGGACCCCGCACAACTTGATGGATGGTGATAAGGATAAATTAATTAGGTGATGGTTTTCCTTTACAACTCTATAACTAAGCGACGAGTACACACTACCTTCTCCAACTCCGTAACTAGTAATAGAGGCCTATAACACTTGTCTACTACTTGTAGTTATAGTCTCTGCTCTGTCTCGGTATATAAGGATGTATTGATGTAAAGTATTTGTGTGACTTAATAAAATCATTACATGGGCTCCTAGAATGATTAAATTTCTTATTTATCAAATAAATTTGTATTTCGTTTGACTTTGTATTACGAATAATCAAGTTCATGGGTCCACTTTGCGAAAAGAAAGTCTCAATTCGTACGTCCACTCGTTTGTCTCGTAAACTCAAAGTTGCGAAAAGCAACTTACAACTCGAAGCTATTCTAATATTCCCTACTTCAATCGCAACAAATATGTTAAAAATGTAATGATCCCGTCATAAATCCAATCGCAAGTAAAGAAAGGTCATCTCAATCACTACCTATTTTTTCGATTGTTTAGTTTTTTTTTATTTCTCCATTCTATCCTCGAACTCGCTGGAGTCATTATAACTAGTATACTCGTGTTGTGATGATCATGATGCATTTCTCTTCGTGTCAAATGAAAATATATAACATCCGTTCGGATTCATGAAGTGGGTAGGGTATATTAGGATATAATGTTATGTTGCAATACCACCACTACATTAGGACATTAGCTAAGCTAATACACAAATTATCATGAAAATTGGCCAAAGATATCTTTATGCTGCTGTTCTTAAACTAGCTGCAGACCAATAAGAAATTAGTGGCACTCAAGTTAAAAGATACTCGGTCCTTTCTAAAGCAAACAACATGGGTGTCGGATCGCAGGAAAAGGAGCAATGAAATATAGAGATTTCTCGCTTGTTGAGTAGTTTTAGATCGGATAGATAATGATTTACCATAAACAAGTTGACAACTCGAGTTAAGATAAAGGCAAAAACTTTAGCATCGGATGCATCCCACATCTTTTCGACCCAAATACCAAATCCCGTAGCCTAATCCGAGAAGTATGCCACTCTAACGGGAAAATCAATGATCCTTAGCCTCCAAAAATGCTTTAAATGTCCTAAACTCTCCCCGAAATATTCGAATGGTTGGGTTCATACAATCAACTTCCCTTCATACGTTTAGGCCTCTTATCAAACCAAGTAGAATTTTTGCCCACATGTGCCACCGACCTACGCAAACAACTACCCATCTCTCATCCGGTGGTTGAAAGCTAGGCAATTCCTCACCCCGTGACTCGATAGCGAGACCCAACTTGGGATCTCCGGGCAAAAATCCTCGAGTCTCTAATAGCAATACCTAAATAGAAGCCGGTAAATAAGAATTTAGATAACAAACAATCTCAATCAATCCTAGTAATCATATGCATAAAGTGTTGGGAATTTTTGTGTCCAATTTGAAGAACCGATTTTAATTATTTGTACTTCTAGTGTTTGTATTTACACCGAATTTTGGATAAGCTTGTGCTCTATCTATAACTTGCCTATGAAGCGATATTTTGTTGCTTGCATCAACGACGTAATAAGTTGATGTTTTGATGTTCTAAATTCGAGTTGGCACTTTAACAAACGAGCTTTAATTCCTTGCAAAAAGTTCAAATGGCCTTGACGTCGTCACCGGCTGATGTGAGAAGGAATAACATTTTTCCATAGCTTATAGCTCGGCCCGTAGGTCTATTATGGTTCATTTTGTTTTCGAAGGCCTAACTTGAAACCGGTGGCATAAGCCGGGTAAGGTCGATCATTTGTGGCTTTTTGGCCCAATTATAAAGGCAAGTAGTTTAATGATATGTTTGGAACCAATTATTGGGGTGAATTGGGTGGAATGAATCGGTATCTTTCGGTTGAAATGAATTGTCTATTCTTTTCTTGTTGTTTAAATTGAAAGGATGATTTCTTATAACATGAATTATAGTGCTTGAACCACCGTAAGAAAAACATCATGATTGGTGACTCCACGAACTCATATTTATTCTCACATTGTTGTATTTGAAAAAGTTTAAATTGATTAGTCATTGAATTCAATTAAAATAATAAATGTTGATCATTTTTTTTTTTTTGAGATTGAGTGATTAGTGATCATTGAATCAAGATCTAACGGTATAATACGCATTGGGACAACCCTATTTTCAAAGTTTCTTTATATATATAAAAAAAATCTAATAAATAAAAAAATTTAATTCATTTGGTTTTGGATCCGTCAAATGAACCATGATGATTATTATTATAAACTCTTCAGACATTATTATTCTTGCTTTTCAAATTTTTATGTGATCACATAGATGCATAAAATTAAAATAATATAAGTGAATAAAAAATTTAAAATACTCATATTTTTGTTATTAAAAGCAATATAAAAGGTGAAAAAAATAAAGAGAACGAATGTTTTATTTTCAATTACTATTTATGAGTAATAGAATCTTATTTATTAAAAACGTATATAATATAAAATAATTTTTTACTTAATAACAGCGTCACGAGTACACTAATGAACTAAATAATTAAAAATTTGAGTAATTATCATTACTTAAAAAAAATGTTCCACATATCATTACTCTAAATTCATATTAAATTTGATGATTATAAAATAATCGTAACTCTACAACAATAAACTCTTCCTCGAAATCTCACCAAACCAAGCAGAGGCATATGAAAATCAACATTTCTCACCCTCATGAGTCCGATTCTAACAATGCTAACCTTTCCAAATGCAAACACAACCGAGCAAAGGTTGTAATGAATTCAATTCATTTCAACACAAATCTCACCCTCCAAACACTCCCTTAGAGCCCGACTGCCGTCTAAACTAAAGGCAAGCAATCATGAGTGACAGATCGTTCGCTACGAAACATCGGGTCATTGACAAGGAAGCTACAGGTCGTTTTCATTTTAAAACAGAGCTTAGAGGAAGATGGCCAAAGTGAAAACTGAAAAGAGCAATCCTTCTTCTCTTTCTTTCTGCAATTCTTGTACTAATGGTGGTGGATCCAAAATGCCACCGAAGCTCCCATCAACACTCCCATACCTGATCCTCCTCTCTGTCATCTTCTTCTACCTCTACTCGAACTTCCTTCTCCCTCACTCCTCCTCCGCCACAACCAAAGCCACCACTTCTCCTCCTCCTTGCAATCTCTTCAGAGGCAATTGGGTACTAGACCCCAACAAATCCACAAAACCTCTTTACAACGAGTCCTGCCCATTTCACAGAAACGCATGGAATTGCCTTAGAAACCAGAGAGAAAATATGGTTTTGATTAATTCTTGGAGATGGGTGCCTAAAGATTGTGACTTGTCAATGATTGATCCTGAGAGGTTTCTTGGATTGATGAGGAATAGGAATATTGGGCTTGTTGGAGATTCTTTGAATGAGAATTTTTTAGTTTCTTTTTTGTGTAGTCTTAGAGTTGCTGATGGCAATGCTAAGAAGTGGAAAAAGAAAAGAGCTTGGAGAGGTGCTTATTTCCCCAAATTCAATGTCACCGTTGCTTATCACCGGGCTGTTTTGCTTGCCAAATACGAGTAAGTTTTCATTTTAACATCTATAAATGTTTGGTTCTGTTTGCTTTGTCATTTGGTTTTACTCCTTGCTTGACAATGCATTGTGGATTTTATTGTTTTGAACTGAATCTAGTGCTTGAATTTACCAATCTTTGAGCTAAAGGAATAGACTTGTAGCTATATATAACTTCTGGATAGAATTAAAGAGCGTGTGGAGTTTTAGGCTGATGGATGCAGGGAAAAAATGGATTTACATGATTCAAAGGAGAACTAAAGCTTTGTAAGCTACAAAACTAGTGAGATTTACTTGCATAATGTGGTTATCAAGATCGGGCTTAGTATAGAGGTGCTCCATATTTTCTTATTCAAGTAGCATTTTGATATATAACACTATTCTATTGTTAAGTTTCATAATCGAGATTCCTGGAAACCATATTTTAGCTTCAAGGTTTCATACACAGTTTGATCTCTTATCCCGATGGATTACTGTATGTTATTGATAAAATTGTTGAGCACCCCCAAATGTTGCTCAAAACTGTGCTACCCTGTGATTGCAGTATCCATGTTTACTTATTGAGAGCTGCTAAAGTCACTATGGTATTCAGTTATACTTAGGATTTTCAAAGCATATCTAGATCACTCAGTGAGAATAGTTCAATGGGAATGCAACTGGTGCAACCTACATCAGTTTATTTGCTGTCCCTTTATTGCAGTGGATTTCCAATTCATTTAACTTGGGCTTGAGCTGGGTTTCGATTTAGTTGATAGTCATGTGATTTGCTTCCGCGAGACCTGAATCTTTAAATGTTGCTTTAACGTATCATTTTTGGGAAGTTTGAAAATGACAACCTCAATTTTTTTCATATTTAGTTCTGGTGCACCACTGTGCTTTGGTTTTTGTTATGTTGATAGTCATATGATTTGCTTCTGCTAGACCTGAATCTTTAAATGTTGCTTTAACGTATTATTTTTGGGAAGTTTGAAAATGACAACCTCACTTGCTCGTAACTGATCAAATAAAGGTGGCAGCCAAAACCGCCTACCGTGAATGGTGAACTGAAGGGAATATATCGTGTAGATGTTGATATACCGGCAGAGGATTGGGCCAGCATCACCGACTTCTATGATGTTCTCGTCTTTAATACTGGTCATTGGTAATCTCCTTTCCTTTCTGAAATTTAGGATAGTAGTGGACAATGAATTGATATTTTCATCTTTTAATGCCTTTATGTCTGCGTGATTTAGATTTAAAAGGAGCTTGGTTCATTGAATGATAAAAGCATTTTGGTTTAAAAAAAAAAAAAAGGTTTTCTAGGCCTTAATTTTTTACTGTGCCTGGCATAGAAATGATCTTTATATTTTTTATTTTCATGTAACAATCAAAAGAAAAGCATGCAAAGGTTATTCTGGCAGCTCGTTTACTCTCAACCCTTTTCTGTTGCATTGGATTTGATGCTTTCATTTGTTAGCTAGTACTATTTTTATCATGGTGCCTTTAATATTTCAAGTTTACGAAAAATATTGATCTGGTCTTACTAGGTGGGGTTATGACAAATTTCCAAAAGAGACACCTCTTGTTTTTTATCGTGCTGGGCAACCAATACTTCCTCCCCTTGGATTGTTTGATGGACTTAAAGTTGTTCTTGAGAATATGGTCTCATACATCGAAAAAGAAGTTCCTAGCAAGACACTCAAGTTTTGGCGGTTGCAATCACCACGCCATTTTTATGGTGGTGAGTGGAATCAAAATGGCAGTTGCTTGCTTAATGAACCCCTCAAGGAAAATGAGGTAATAAATTGATGACGGCTATTTACTTTTTGCACCTCATTCACAATGTTATTTGTGATGATTAATTTTGTGCACTGGTCCCTATTGGAATTAGCGTCAGAGTTTTTTTGTCAAATTTGTTTGCATCCACTGAAATGGTATGACGATTGTTCAAATTCCGAACAAGATATTCTGAGATGAAAAGTTTCACCTTTGACGCCTTCACCTTCACCTTCTGACGCGTTTCAATATTTTTATTTCTTACTTCCTTTTTATTTCCTTGTTTGAGAGATTTTGATATTGATACCTGCACAGCTGGACTTGTGGTTTGATCCCAGCAACAACGGAGTGAATAAAGAGGCAAGAAAAATTAATCATGTGATTGAAGAGACATTGCAAGGCACAGATATCCGATTGCTGGATCTTACTCATTTGAGTGAGTTTAGAGCAGATGCCCACCCCGCAATTTGGTTAGGAAAGAAGGATGCTGTGGCCATCTGGGGTCAGGACTGCATGCATTGGTGCCTACCTGGTGTCCCTGACACATGGGTTGATATCTTGTCAGAGCTGATTCGTAATAGCTTGCAGATGGGGTGATGAACCAGGAAGAAAATATTGTAAAATCTCAGATTTCGTTGTGCAAATATATCATGCAACACGTTTAAGATGTGTGGCCGCTGCAATTTCATGGAGACCAAGTTGTTAGATTGGCTTTCACCATACAAGATGGGGCTAAAGATATATCTTCATGCGGATATATGCGCCGATGAACAAAGTTTGCTGCTCTGTTGTTTTTCTCAGAATTTTTTGGAGGGAAATAAATTGATTCGCAATTGTAAACAGACAAGTGACATTGCAGAGAAGGAGAAAGTTGAATTGGAAGAAGAGAGAAATTACAGGAAGTTCTTTTTGCAGGTGGGGAAGGTGTTTCTGGGGTTACCTAATATTGTATCATGCTTCCACTAGAAGTTAACAGGTTTTTAATTTAGAAAGTCATCTGTCTGCCATTTATTCTTTTCTTTTCTTTTGTATGCAATTCATTATATTCTTTGATGATTTTTTCTTTTTCTTTTTCTTTCACGCACACAATTTGACCTTAGCTTAGTAACAAACTAGTTTCGTGACACGCTGGATGTGGCGGGTAAACTTATAAAATCTATTTTTATATTTAAAATAATTATGAAAATTTAAACATATCAAATTAAAATCAGTCAATATTAGCTGTAATTTTTTTATTTTTTTTACTGTAATATGTATTTTGTAGCATTCAATATTATGTGTGCATTTTATGTTTGAATTTAAATAAATCAAGAAAGAAAAGTAGATAAAAAAAACTGTCCAGTATTAAACCATGACAATAAGGAAAATTAATAAACTAGCTAAGTTTTCCAAATATTTTTTATATTCAAATGATTTATGATCACAAAATATTGCCAAAATTGCATAAATTAAATTAAAGAAAGCATTGCTTATCTTTTTTATTGAAAAATTTGTCAACTAATATCCTAAATTGAGTAACTCAGTCATTAATTTTTTTTTTTTTTTTAACATATCTAATAGTTGATGAATATAAAAAACTTTAAGTCACCCATGTTATATTTAAAAACGATAATAAAGAATTAAATTTAACCTAGAATTGAGACATTGATCCATTTTTGGACTTTTTCTTATCAAGGCCCAAACAAACCAAATTACACAAAAAAAAAAAAAAAAAATGATTCATGCACTCAAAGGGAGATTACGAACAACTTAAATGATATATTTTTAAAAAAATTAAAATTTTAATCTATGAATAATTTTGAAATATATATAGAAAAGAGTCGGGCTGGATTTTCTAGGCCCCTGAGGTCATGGGCCTGAGAATCCAGGCCAGCATGTTAAGACTGGCAGGCCAGGCCCAAAAAAGCATCAAACGACTTCACCCATGCAAATTCCGGCGACCGAACGGTAAAATTTTCACTATACTGTCTCGAAATCGTTCCAAAAACTCTCAAACACCTATTTTCAAGTTCAAAACTCGTTTTTAATAAACCAAAAAAACCCGTTCAAACTCCAAAAATTATTTTTGTTTTCGGGCTTCAATTTTCTCTTACACACTATTTTAGTGGCAATAACCAAAATCAATTAACTTCTTGAAAAAACCCATGGACACCAATACCAGATGTTTTGGGAGACAGAATGATGCTGAACGGAATTTTCTCTCTCCTCTCTCTCTCTCTCTACGCTCAAGGACTGAAACTTTTGATTTGCTTTCCAACATTAATTGTGTGTTTTAGTTTCTAGCATATAGATCACTGAATTTAATAAATCTAATAGTATGGTTTTTTGTATTGGAAAAACCTTGATCTAGTCCTAAACATTTATACTTTTTCTCAATTGCAACTCCAAACTATAAATTTTATCAATTAAATCATAAAATTTTCCTATGTTTTTCAATCGTATCCTTCTTATCAACTTCTTTTAATAGTCTATGTCTGATGTGATGTTTTATGCACTGGTAGTGTTGATTTAAACAAAATTTGATAGACAAGTTAATGAATCTTAATATTTTTTTGTCTGATGTTCATATTTATGGACTAAAATAGCATTATTTTGATGAAACTTTAACAAAATTATTGAAGAACATTAACAAGAAGACTTGATTGAGATTTTTTTTTTAAAAAAATGTAAGACCTAATAGATTTGGGACTCAATTGAGAACAAATATATAAATTGGAAACTAAATTGATATTTCTCCTTTTTCATTCTATTATTGACTCAGCCAAATACATATTTTTCTATTTATCATACTTATTCTACAATAATTAAGATAATTGCATATATTAATAAAATAAAATATATATTTAAAACTTGTTCATAAAAGAAAAGTTTAACTTTACATCTATGTACATAATCTTATAGATAAAACTAGTTTATTTGCTCACGTTATGCTACGAGTTAGATAAATTATATAAAATCATTTTAGTTTTATAGTTTTTTTATGGTGTGAATCTATTAAAATATATGAAATAGAAGGTGAAAAAAATTATTTAATCCAAAATTTTGTATTTAATTATTTCTTATTTGTATTTTTTCATAATTTTTCCTTTAGAAAAAAAGATTTATCCTTATTAATCCATGGATTATCAACTAATAAGAAAATTAAATATATATATATTTTTTAAAAGCTTTAGTGTTTCATAAGATTGTGTCAAAAAACATAAATAACAATTATTAAAAACTTACATAGAATTGAAAAAATTATTATTTTTTTATTTAATATTGATGAGAATATCGGTTTTTGAAAAAATATGAATTTAATTTTTATATATTTATTTACAAAAGAATGAATAATATTAAAATAAAAACTATATTAATTTGAATCATTGAGCGGTTAAATCAAAACATAATTTTAATTATTTAATTTAAAATAAGTTAATTTTAAAATATTCAAAAATCAATAAATAAACAAGTAAATGCTTAGTATAGTAGTGGTTGCACAGCTTAATTTCTATAAGAAAAATGATTCAATATTTTTTTCATACATCATAACTATACTAAATGAGTTCGAGTTTTCAATTTAAAACATAAAATACTATATATATAAAATTTAACTTGCAAGAAATCTATTGACTAAATTTGAAGTTAATAGACTAAAATAAAAATTAATACGAATTTGATTTCGATTAATTTTGATTATATAAAGAAGAAACAAATGAATAAAACAAGTGAATTTTTTATTTCTATGCTATGCATGGCTAGTCCTTGAATATGGGTCTCACACACGGAGTAACCATCTTCTTTTTATTTTTAACATTTGACTTTCAACTATTAATTAATTAATTTGAGTTTTTTTTTCTAAAAAAATCGAGAAAACATTATTTGAAATACACTTTTTTATCTAAAAATATATTTTAGATAAATTATATATATTAATTATACCACTATAATTTAAAAGTTATCTGAATCTATTTTCAAAATAAAAAATAATCATGTTTTAAAAATTTATTTCAAAATCCATACATACAGAAAAATAAATTAAAACTATCAATAAACATAATTTTAAATTAATTGGATGAGAATTAAAAAAAATAAAAAATTAAAGTAGTAAATTTTAAATAATAAACATAATTAAAAAAAAATACTAAAACAAATTGGGACCAAATCACAATATAATTAAAGTTTGAAATTGAAAAAAAAAAAAGAGGATTTAAAAAAATGACAAATTAATGTAGTAAATTTTAAATAATATAAAAAATAGAGAAAAAAATATTTGAAATACACTTTTAATCAAAAAAATATATTTAATAAAAATTATATATATTAACTTAAAAATTACCTAAATCTATTTTTCAAAAGAAAAAATAATCATGTTCTAAAAATTTATTCCAAAATCCATACATATAGAAAAATAAATCAAAACTGTTAGTAAATATAATTTTAAATTAATTGGATGAGAAATTAAAAAAATGACAAATTAAAATAGTAAATTTTAAATAATTAAAATAATTAAAAAACTAAAATAAAATGGGACCAAATTACAATATAATTAAAGTTTGCAATTGAAAAAAAAAGAGAGAATTTAAAAAAAATGACTAATTAAAGTAGTCAATTGTAAATAATAAAAATAATTAAAAAATTAAAGTTTGGAATTGAAAAGAAAAGAATTAAAAAAAAATTAAAGTAGTCAATTTTAAATAATAAAAAATATTAATAAAAAACTCTAAAACAAAATGGGATCAAATTATAATACAATTAAAGTTTTAAATTGAAAAAAAAGTATAGAAAAGTTGAGGGTCAAAGTGTTAAAAAATGACATGAATAGTGAAAGGAATAATGATTTATGAGTGAGTGAATAGTGTTTCAAATATCGAGTGAATAGTAAATAATAGTTTTCCTTTAGTTATATTGATAATTTATTTTTTCTCCTCGACATTTATGTGTTTTTTCAATTATACCTAAAAAAATTATTTGTTTTAATTAGATACCATATCTTTCATTTTGTTCCACTTTGTATAAATTTCATTTTCATTTTCAAATTTATAAAATATCTCAATATAAATCAAAAAGTAAGAACAAACAAATTGAAATTGAAAAAAACATTAAAGAAAGATACTTTTTCAATATTTTTTTCATCAACACTATCTATTAATCTTTTGACAATACAATAATAAAATTAAACTAAATTGAATTGAATATGATAAAGAATATCAACCACTATTATTGCTGACTCTCATATATTTTTTCACTAGTATATCATATCAATACTTTTTATCCAAATTTTCATTAAAATCTTGAATAAAAATTAAAAATAATAAAATGAAATCCCATTTGAATGGAATGGTAGTTGGAATATAAGACAATTTTTAAATCACTTATAACTTGATTATTTTCACATACCAAAGGTTCAATTTGATGACAAGATAAAAAGAAAAAAGAAAAAAAGGAAGGATTGTGATAGTTGAGAGAAATTATAACGATGAAGGTTTAGATGAAAAAAAGAGTTAAATTAATTTGAATATTGATTCTTATTTAACTACAGCATTGACAAAGGGAAAAATGATATTGTTGAGTGAAAATTGAAGTTTGTATGATTTTAAGATTTTTTTTTGAGAAAT